CAAAATTTGATGTTTCCCCGTCAAATTGCCAGTTTGGGTTATCCGGTTATTACCCCATCTTCAGGACCCAACTCCTCTAGACAGGCGGCTGCAGAGGCAAAGAAACGCGAAGCGAAGTTGGTGGAGGCACTGGGGATAGCGAGGCACTGGGTACCCTCCTTTGTGTCATCAAACAAGATCAAACATGGAAAATCCATAAAAATCCCTTATAAATGGGGAAAATCAACTATAAGTGGATATACATACTGTAAAATTACACAACTATATATATATTATAACAGGGATTGTACCCTGAAAGGGGGTTGATTTAATCACCATGGTTATATCCATATCATATGGATATTTATTAATTGTGGACAACGTGGAGTAACACCTAGTAATGCACCATTGGGGGCAGTGATCGATGACTATGGCTATGGCTGCTTAGTTCCTAAGCACTGAGGCACTAAATCCTTGGGTCACTTGTTGGTGACTCTTAGTCATAGTCTTCAACCATGTGGTAATACGATGTAATATGCTCGGTGATTAGGTGGCAAGTGTTGGGCCTGATGCATCTGCAGCCGGTCAAATGTCGGTGCAGAATTCCAAAGCCCCAAGCCACAGATCAGCCGTGGCTGACCATTTTGGGTAGATGTCATTCAATGTTTGGGAAACAGCTGCAACCCCGTGCTCCATGTGAGAAGGGTGGTTCAACCGTTGGGCCATGACGCCATGACTGGGCAGGAGCGAAAGCAAGCGAAGAAGACCCGCGCTTGGCATGGGCTGGGTGTAGGGCTGCAACCCTTATGAGTTTCAACGTGTTTTTTTGGCTTCTAAATGGCATGGTTGATCATAATTAAGTAGCCACAGCTGGGATTCTACCATCAAAAAATGCGGATTTAAGATACCTTCAAAACGGATCGAGCGGGGCTTGTTTGAAAGTAGGCATCAACCAATTGCAGAAGATGATTCAGATGATTATCATGTTTGCATTAAACTGTTTTTTTTGGGGGGTTAGGGGGCGGTCCAATGGCGATCCATTTTTATTTGGGCTCTTCAACCTGGCTGTGGACGCCCCAGGAAGGAAGCTGTCAATGCTCAGAAAGAGGCTAGGCTGGGACCAAAAATCATGCAGCTATGCAGCAGCCATCGGCACCAACCTGGAAATGTTGAAACTGCTTGGTGGCTTAGTCGTCTTCAGAAATATTGATATCACCAGCATATTTTTCGAATTGCAACTCCCAGCTGGCAACAGTTTGGTTAAGTTTTAAGTTTTTGTTGACTGTCACTGCCTCAGGCGTTTGTATATGATTTGCCCGAACATGGTATGACTTAGTCTATTTACACTGAATAGACAAGGACATAGAAGTCACGGAAATTAACACCAGAAACACATCGAACAACTGCGGAATCAGAAATGCATCCTGTGGCTGTAATGGCAGGAGAAGCCCAAGAGCGTTCAGAAGCCCAAGGCAATCTGGATCGCTGCGACGGCATCGAAATCAATGGATCAGCTTGAGATGTTGAACAACATGATTGAAGCTGGTATACATTGCAGGGTGTTTGGCGAATAAGGCGTGTCATGGATCACGAAAGCCCCGGCAAAGTTGTGTCTGTGAAGGGTGAATATTTCGATCGCTGATTGATCGCAGGAGAAGGCTCCGGTAAAGTCAAAGCCGGAGGAGAAGCGAAAGAAAGGCGATGAGAAAGAGGAGCTGAAAAGTGACTGGGCATGCCTAGTTGCGTTCGATTGGTGCCGGCCCCCCGGAACGTTTGAAGCTATGTTGCCAGTTCTTTCCAATTGTGATCTATCGAGTGCATACTTGTATGTCATTCGAGTCATTCCTGCATACTGAGGCGAAAAGGAAAAGAAGCAGAAAGAGGAGGAGAAAAGAAGAGAGAAAGAACTTGAAGAGAAAAAGAAAAAGGAGAAGAAGAAGGAGGAGGAAAGGAAGCGAAAAGAGGAGGAAGAGAAAAAACGTAAGGAAGAGGAGAAGAAAAAGAAGGAAGCCGAGAAGCAAAAGAAGGAAGAGGAAAAGAAGAAAAAGGAAAAGGAGGAGGAAAGAAGGAAGCAACGAGAAGAAGAAAAAAAGAAGGAGAAAGAACGTGAGGAGGCGAAGAAAAGGGAAAAGGAGAGAGAGGAGGAGAGGCAAAGAGAGAAGGCAAGGGAGGAGGAGAAAAGACGAGAAAAGGAAAGAGAAGAAGAGAAGAGGAAAGAGAAAGAACGAGAAGAAGCAAAAAAAGAGAAAGAGCGAGAAGAGAAAAGGAAAGAGAAGGAACGCGCGGAGAGAAAGGAGAAAGAACGAGAAGAGGAGCGAAGAAAGGAGAGGGAACGCGAGGAAGACAGGAAACGTGAGAAGGAACGTGAGAAGGAACGTGAGGATGCCCGAAGACGAGAGAAGGAGCGGGAAGAGGAGAGGAAGCGCGAGAGAGACCGAGATGACAGGAGAAGAGACAAGGACAGAGATGATGACCGGCGGCGGGAAGATGAACGAAGGAGAGACAGGGAGCGCGACAAGGAGCGTGAAAGGCTGGGGGCCATTCTGTCCAGACTGTTCATTCACAATCTATTTGGTGGCTTCAAGTGGCTTCAAGTGGCTTCAAGTTGTTTTTTTTTGCAATGTCCAACCTTGCATGGAATGATAGTATCCAAAGGCATCCAAAGGCCATGTTGTTTTTGAGGGATGGGGGCAATTCACCCACAAACCTGCTTTGCAGCAGCAATGCCAGGGTGAGTTTTTCTTTGTCCTGTCCAGGCAGCGAGAGAAGGAGCGGAAGAAATCTCGTGAGCGGTCACGGGGTCGCGAGCGGTCTCGAGACAAGTCCCGCGTTCGAAACCGATCGCGAGACAAGTCCCGTGGAAGAGAGCGATCAAGAGAGAAATCTCGAGGGGCAAGAGACAGATCTCGGGGTAGAGACAAGTCTCGGGGTCGAGAACGATCCAGAGAAAAGTCTAGAGGTAGAAATCGATCCCGATCACGTGAAAGACGTGATCGGAATGACGCTTGGGAGAGTTTATCAAGCAATACTTTTGAGTCATTGAGTGTTTTTGATTTCGCAGAGCAGGTTGGTTTCTAGAGTTTTCTTGGTGCTTTCCATCAAGAGTATATAATTAATAGATATTAATAGATATTAATAGCACGGCCTCGAACCCCTCCGTGCCACCAAAATTATCATTTCATGAGCAGCTTGAGATCCCGGCCCAGGATCGCTCAAGAGAAAGGGGCACAGTCGCCAAGGACGGTAGCGTGACATGTTCAAATCCCAATCCCCAAAGTGGATAAGAATGGTCAACGAACCTATGTATGAACTCGGGTCACCTTTCAAAACGGAAAACGCCCATTTCACAAAAGGCCTAGTTTGGGATACTAAGGAAAATAGCACCGTATATAAATCATCCTAGATCAGGGTAAAGACTAGTACCTACCATTCATTCATATTCATTCAGTTTGTTCCACCTGATAATCAGATACAGAGAATAATGATTAAAAATGAAGTGCAATTCATGAGGTCCTCACTAAACCGGGGGCTGGCCTGGGGGTATTCAATACTGGCGGGATCGTCAACCATCATAGGGTGGGTGCCTCTGTTCGCTCAGTGGCACGGACTTTTTGCTGGCGTAGATCTTCACTAATGGCCTGAATTCCAGGGTACCCTAGGGATCCCCAGGGTTCTTATTTCAATTAATTGGCAAAAAGCGTCAAATCCAGCAATCCAGCCCCTGAAGTTCTTAATGCAGTAGGTTCTTAGACAGTAGTTTCACCTACCCCCGAATGCAATGGGGTAAAACGTTGAAGGTATGAATCGATTTCTGGACAAACACCCATCTATATACAATCCCAAACCGCATTCATGGCAATAAGATGAGAGATTTTTTCAATCTTGAGAGATTTATCGGGCCTACAAGATGATGCTCCAGTCCGTTGGCTAAGTTAGTTGGTGTCGAAGCAGATTGACTAGCGTGTATGGTAGATATATACGTATTAATTATTTGCAATTCAGTTAACAATTTATGGTCGATATATCTATAATATATATAGTTAACTAATGTTTGCACATGGTTATTTATAAATAATAGATTGACTACAAGCCACAGTTGACTAACTATATGTATATAATATTATTCAATTACACACACACATACATATATATATATACATGTGTATGTCTGTGTCCCGTGACCATAGTTACAGTAACCTGGTTATGTCAATGGTGAATTGGATTTACACACCGCCAACGTTAACGTTTAACGGTCTCGCATCGCCAGGAGAACGGCTCTCGTCGAGAGCGAGCTGGGGCACCCAATACTTGGGATGATCCGGGATGATACGGGGTTTGGATGGCATGGGCTTTCCACCAAGGTTCTCTTGGAGGGCCAAAAACTGGCCATGGGCTTACTTTTCATGCATTTTTCATGCATGTCCCCTCATTTGGTGCTTCGGTGGTTGTGTTTGCATGTGTTTGCTAAAAAAAAGGTGCTATTTCATGATAGTCTTTTCTAGAACCAAACCAGAAAAAAATACACAATCTTGAATACAACTGTTGTATGTAAAAACCCTTGACTCACAGACGGTTGGTAATTTCTGGGTAAAACAAAAACCGACCCCAGTGGACCTCACCATAGAAATCATCCCCAGGCCGAAAAAATATCGAAGATGACGTCATTTTCCCAGATTTTTTGGGGCAAACCCAAATTTAAACTATTCCCAATTGATGTTTTGATGCTTTATCAACTATATTAAATGATCATTTCATATCATTTCCCCAGTTTCTGGGAATATTCTCATTCCCCCCATTTATAGGCACCCTTCATAACTGGCAGGATTTCTAACACCCTTGAGATCACAGGAGACCCCAGCGCTTCCTCGGCAAGACCCGCCCCCGGGGGGCCCGGGGCCCCCGGGGCCCCCGCCGCCGGACGCAGAGAGTTGGGAACTGAGAGGTCAACCATGATGGGGGGGCGTATGGAACGGTGAATAGTGGGTTAATTATGGGTTAATGATGGCTTATATGAACTTATATGGGTCATAATATGGTTGATATTGGCACAACAATGGCTTAATCATGGTGTACTTGGATTTTATGGGATTTAAGATGATTTAAGCACTGGTAATTAAGGGCAGCAATGGGAAATCCCCCGCACTAAATGGAGGTTTCTAGCTGGGAAAACCAATGACATGATAGATGGAGAAATTTCCGGCAAGGCATGTTTGATCACCAGAGGGAAAGAATCAAGATGGGGAATATCGGGATGGGTCAGGAGTCAAAACCTATGATGTCCCAATATCTAGATGGAGATTCGTAACTTTACCATCACGGTGTACAAACCTCCGTGGGTATTTAGCCTAGGCACAATCAGGGTATCAAGCAGCCACAATGAGGTATTAATCGAATTTTCGAGGCCCTATACGGATGAGTCATTTTCTATGATACCATCGGTGCAAAGCATCCATCGATCCTATAAATAAATCACCAATCAGCTAGACAAGAACGATCCATATACTCCCCCTTCCGCAATCCAGTAGTTAGGATGGCCCACGAAAATATCATGAATCTCATCGAACCTTAAGTGGCGCCAGGACGCTTCATTTTCATGTCAAGGGTGGCCCTTGGACAGCCATGAGACTTCCACATGGAGAGAAGCACAGAAGCAGTGGTCACATTTTTGTCACTTGAACGACTTGGGCCAAAGCTGCAAAAACATCGCTGGTCGCAGCTAGGGCTGTAAGATTCCGACATTCAAGATAGAATCCCTGCATGCATCTGCATGCTATGGAAATAACATGCCATCAGTGAATTAGACATGAGACGCTAGTTGTGCTTGTGCTGCCATGCTGTGCCTTGGCCATGGATGTGGGGCTTTGTGAATTTATCTCTGCTTCGCATTGGCAATGGCAACTGGCGGAACCTCGAGCGTGTGGGGTTCATCCATTTATTTGTGGGGAAGGAAACACATGTGCACAAACATCGTGATTCAATGTGATTCTTGTGGCTATTTATGGTTTGTAGCCGTTGCCTACGCACTTGTCTTGCACAGGTTGAATTTTTGGTCAACTAGCTATAGGCTGCGGTCTTGATTATGATGTGGTTGTCTGTTTGGTGAAGCACTTGATGGGTTTGTCGGCGCAGTGATTTACAGGCATTTTGAAGGCAATTATGATAATTCAAGATCACTCGCCAGAATGGAATTCCACCTCAAAATCCCAGCTAGTGAATTATCAAGCCGGTTTTTTGCTGGTCAATAGCAACATGTTTGCCCAACTCCACATGCGTATCGTCTTCAACCCCTTCATAACTTTCTCACAAAAATCAAACAGCGGATCCGCCTCTTGACCCAGGAATGCTTCCAATCCCTAGATCTCCACCACGGCCAGCAGTTACTGGGCGCCCCGGCCGCCCTGGGCGCCGGGCTCGGCGTCGCCGACGGGTCCCCGGCGCCCGCGGCGCTCTGCTGGGAGCCCAGCGCTGCAGAGCTACGGCAGCTGCGGCGGAGGGTGGCGCCTGGCGGGCGCCTGGTGGTGGCCGGGAGGCCATGGAGATATCAGGATTGGCCCATGCCGAAGGGAAAGCTGGTGAAAGATGAGATGGAGATGTGTGGCTGGGTGAGCTATTTGGGAGGAATGAGTTATTATATATATATATATATTATATATATATAGAGATATAGTTGTGAGATTTTCTGAGCCACAGAGGATGTGCGAGCAATTGCTATTGTTTGCGGTTTTTTCCTCTTTTTTTGGTGTTCCGATTTTGCATTTTTTTTCGTGTATTTTTCTGATTTTAGTTTGCATGTTTTTTCCGGCAAGGCATGGCAACCAGAAGAAAACACAAGGCAAAACAAAAAACAACATCCACAAACCGCGAAAAAAAAGAGGAAAAACAAGGCAAAAAACAACAGGATAAAAACAGGAAACAGGAAAACGGAACAAGAAAAAAACGCGGAAAAAAACACGAAACAATTAAAATCCAAAATCCTGGCCTCTGGCTAGTAAAAAATATCATTTATATGGTTGGGCGCATAGTTTGGGAGGTGTGTTTTCGACTTGCCGCATCAAACATCACCCGGCCAGAACTTGTTTTTGAAAACACGCTCAAACTGTAGGGAAAATAGGGTTATTTTTTGGAGTGATTGCTAGGCCAAGACCTGAGAGAAGCGGGCTTTGATTTGACGGCCCTTCGGGTCGCTACGTATCATTGCGAGATCTCTCTGCAGAAGTGGCTGAGCTTGGTGGCGGATCTGTGCAGCCAGGAGGAACTCCAAAGCTTTCGGGAAGAGATGATTACCCAGTTGGAAGCGGATGGAGCTTCTGATGGAACTGAACAGTGCCCTGGATTGTATCGTTTTTTCTAACCTGCTGGGTGTTTCTTTGGCCAGCCACTAGTCACTATAGTCATTAGTCACTGTCACTTAAACTGACCGACATCAATTCAAACCGAAAACTGGTTGACCCAACATGTCAAGCCAACAACTCCGCAACTCCAAGGTATCTCCACTTCGAGGACCGGTTGCTGCTTTTAATCGCCCAGCTTCCAACAGACTGGGGCTGTTGCCGCCGTGCCAAGCGCCTGCAGCTGTCCAAGATCCCGATGCCGTGGCCCATGCGCCTGGCCCTGGACGGTTTCTGGGCCCCGCTGGTGCCCCTGACCCCGCAGCAGGCGGCCGAGGCCTTGGCCCAGTTGGATCGTCATGCGCAACGGGTCAGAAGATCAGACGCTGCCAGGGCAGAGGAGTTGGTGGGAGAAGAACGCTTCAAACTGCACTTGCTGTACCCCTGGGCCGCACAGTTGCCTGGTGATTTCAAGTCTCTCAGATTTTTGTGGAAAACGTATAATCCCTTCCTCCTAATACTAAACCCCCCGCCCCTAATACAAAACACGGCAGGTAGTTTTTAGTATTAGGGGGGTATTTATTATTAGGGAACCAAATCGAAGTCATGTTAATTAATTAATTAAATTTCCTTATATAACGCAATTAAAATATTGCCAAAAATGGCAGTTCGAAGCTTACCCCTAATACTAAATTAAAACCCTTAATACTAAAAACTATTTTTTCCGATCTCAAAATCAATTAAATTTCCTTATATAACGCAATTAAAATATTGCCAAAAATGGCAGTTCGAAGCTTACCCCTAATACTAAATTAAAACCCTTAATACTAAAAACTATTTTTTCCGATCTCAAAATCAATTAAATTTCCTTATATAACGCAATTAAAATATTGCCAAAAATGGCAGTTCGAAGCTTACCCCTAATACTAAATTAAAACCCTTAATACTAAAAACTATTTTTTCCGATCTCAAAATCAATTAAATTTCCTTATATAGCGCAATTAAAATATTGCCAAAAATGGCAGTTAGAAGCTTACCCCTAATTGCTAGAGTAGCTAGGCAGCTTGGAGTGAGGGATTGGGACTAGGCCCCCCTAATACTAAACACCCCGGGGTGAACTAGTTTTTAGTATTAGGGGGGAGAACCCACAAATGGTAGGTTGATTTTTAAATTGTTTTTTAAAGGGGATCAATTAAAAGTCAAATTGGCCAAACTGAAATTTTCGGAAATTGGAGATGGATGCATGTTTTTAGTATTAGGGGGACGTTTAGTATTAGGAGGAAGGGATTATGCAGTTTTTTAAAAGCAGAGAAAACACATGTTTTTTTTGATCAACGGTGACTTTCACATTTTGCCAGACGGGGAGACGGGGTTAGCCCTCAGTCCGCCAGGTTGGTACGTCATCCAGTCATCTTGGAGGCGGTGCGGCAAGCTCTGGGCACCCCCAATGTGCTGGTCTGGTTCAGTGAGGTCAACGCCAAGGGACCCAGGTCACCATGCCACGCGGCACCGCACCAGGATGGCATTTTTGCCAGCTTGGCACCCAATGATGCCGTGATCACCGTTGCCCGGCACAGCGAGGGGCACAGTTTCGGCCTTGTGATGTGGTCTTGCGTGGGAATGCATGATTTAAACATATTTAAACTATTCATGAGTTAGTAAATTCGAAAAGTGCTAGCCCCCAATTCCACCATTTTATGCAATTATATAGTGCCCCTGCTTTTCTGTCATAATGTAAACCTCAAATAGGCTTCTTGTATAGACCCGAAGACCCCCCAAAAAATTGGATGAAGTGAAGGGACGCACGAAAATTCAATTTTGGATAGCAAAACAAAGTTTCCTGAACATGTTCTTAAACCATCCCATATGAATTTCATTTCTATGGGTGACATAACATGACATAATCTGACACAACCGTGTTTGTTGGTCAAATGGTCAAATCCAAATTCTCATGGTTAACTCATATAATCTTTGTGAGTTAAGTCAGTTAAGTCAGTTAAGTCTGCCATGGTTTTTCGAAGTTTGCGTTGCCCCATTTCAGGTTTGGTTGGCCTTGACGGAGGCCCTGGCGGAGATGGGTGGTCTTTACTTCCAGCGTGGCTCGCACCTCTCTGGCGCGCTGCCGCACCACGTGGATCCGGAGCCCGAGAATCTCATCGGCTTCCGCGTCGACCACGGGGACGGGGTGGACCACGTGGACCACGACACGGATGCGGTGCCGGTGGAGCTGAAAGCTGGGGAGGCTGGGAGGGTGTGGATGGTGACGGAAGAAGTTAGTGGAAGTGAGATTTTAAGGAGGATTTGACTGTTCTATTTTTGGGGTGTTATATAATGCTATTTATATAGGATGATGGGATGAAGCGTTCCAAATTGGAGGCCGATGATGTTGGGTTTACTGAAGCATTACAGGCCTCCAATTTTCAGATTCAGGATGACAGGATGACATGATGACCCCACGAAGTGGAAATGGTTGCTGAACTGTCGCTCGTTGCTAGACATCATGGATGTCATCACAAGACCAGGGGCTACCAGGGGCATCACCCACTGTACACAGCGAGGGGGATCCTCTCCCCATTTTTGGAGGATGATACCACTTGATCATAGCATATCATATACCATGTTTTTGTGGAGTTGGATTGAGAAACCATCAGTTAGCATCATCAAATATCATCAACCAGCATTGGCCATCTATTTGATTTTGTCATATTTTGTCATATTTTGTCCAGAAATGTCTTCACACCTGGTGATTTTTTCCAGCAGTTGGTGGATGGAAAATGCTTCACCCTTCGTCAGACAAACCCATGCGATACCACCAGTCGTCGCAACCGAAAAAGAAGGATCTTTGCCAACGAAACGGGGATTTTTCAGCACCAACAAATCTAGAAAATAAACATTGGCCGCTAATGGTCGGAAGATGTGTTGAAATTATTCAGAGATATTGCGATATATTGCGATTATAATAGGAACCGTTGGATTTTGGTGATTTTGGGCCTTTTCCATCCTTTTCCACCCCTTGAGGCCAGTCTCCACAGCTTCAGCACCCTCCACTGGTCCGGTCCAAACCTGACGGCGCTGCGCCGGGTGGGTCTGGCCGTGCGCTACGTCCGCGCGGACGTGCAGCGCTCGCGGCGGCTGCGGCGCCGTGAGAGCGCCATGCTGGCGTGTGGCCAATATGATGCGGCAGAGGGGGCCTTTGATGCAGCCTGGGCTGGAATTGTATATGAAATTGTGAAGTTTGATGAATTGGGAAAAATATGGAAAAATCTTGTGTGATAGTGAGTTGTAGGATGTTGTAGCTTAAGTGATTGGATTGGCTTTAAATAAGAGATTGACTTGGGTGAAGCTGAGTGAACTGTAGATGAGGCAAGATTGGAGGGCTTCTGCTGTCACACGCCCAGAACATGCAAGATCTCCCCGACAACAACGACGACGACGACGACAACAACAACAACAACAACAACAACAGGTCAGACTTGCAGACATCATTCCGAAACTTTTTCACTTTCATTCGAACATCAGCCAAAACTACCTGGGACTTCCTTGTTTTTCCATAGATTTCCCAAGCTGTGCCCCAGGTCGAAGACGCACCGACGCATCCCTTCGGATCAGCCGAGGTGGCTCAGCACGCAGACGCCCTGGCGCGGGAGCGGGAGAATTACTGGGCCGATGAAGCGGCGTAGCGAAAATGGCCGGCAGAAACTGGGGCTGTTGGGTATTGATGGTAGGTTGCTGGGCGTTGGGTTATAAAATACTATAAAACAGACCATAAAACCACATAGAACCCAATAAAACCCCATCACCATATTCTACAACTTTGTTTGGAATGTTGTCTTTTTCCTTTGTTCTCTCTTTTGTAATTACAGCAATGTGTTTGTTTTTTTTTCTTGGTGGTATTATCCCTGAAGCAACACTGGGGAGTGCATGGTAACAGTTGAGAGTCTTTCGGAGCCCGACGCGAAGTCAGACATCGCAAAGTCACAAGAGTCACCTAAGAGTCACAAAAGTCAATGCAACTGGCAGAAACCGACATGTCAAGTTTTTAGGTGTTGGGATTGAGAGCCTTGAGAGCCGCTGAGTCAGAGAACTTTCCCATCCTCAGGGATAACCGGGATGCCCGGCGCCAAGGTCAATTTCCTCCACCACTGCCAACCTCAAGCCGCCTGGATCTGGCTTCGGAAGTGCGGAGAAAAAACGGTGATTTTTAATTGATTTTGTTTACTGTATGTTATGTGTGGACAGTTTGAAGGTCTAGCCATAGGCCATCCAAGGGCAGTGACTGAACTTTCGATGATTGAAGATGTTTTTCATCACTCCCTTATTTCAATTGCCCGATGCCTGCGTGTTTTAAATGATCGCCGGTTTCCTAATGCAAAGGCAAAGATGGATGGTTGGTCTTTTTTCCAAGTGAATTTGGCAATAGCATGTTGCTTGTCGCTGGCGATTCAGGCCCCATTAGAAGCCAATGTTGAATACAGAATATACTGTACACTGTACAACGTCGTGCAACTAGGTGCAATTGTTATGAAATTCTGACAAGGCGTCATGCAAATACCCAAGAAGAAATCCTTTACCCTCCGGTAGTAGTCAACCACTTATAGACATTTTTGTTCCTCTTAAAAGACCCTATTTGTTGTGATTTATAGGGGAGATTCCTGGATTTCCATTGGCCACGTTTGATTACCAGATATTACCAGAGGGCATACATGTTGATCAAAAACCATGCTGCGCACTCAGGTCATGCTGAGGCTGGGATTGCTGGTATCAAACCTGGGGTACGTGAAACAATGGGGTGTGAAACCAAGAGTCCAATCTGGTTGGCTACTGTTGGCTTAAACATGTTCAAACAACATAAGTGAGGCTACCAAAACACCACAGAGGGGCCTCACCATGGCTCATGGGTAGGCGGCCGGAAACTGCAGCACAATGACCATAATGATCTTATTGCAATTTTGCAATTCATAAAAATGCACCCACATGCAACTTCCAATTTTCCCGGTGCCACCTTTGGCATAGGATCTTTCGCATCCAATACATCCCAAAGTTTGAAGGTGTTTGAAGATCCTCCACCGCTTGGAACCACCAAAAGATTCAAAACATCTTGGGGAACGGGCCGGAACCAGGGGTTGAAGTCCGAAAAAATTGGATGCCCCTGGCCGTCCTGGCCCTTCCAATTTATCATAACCTTACACCTGTTATAGCACATTAATATACATTAATCACATCTTCCTGATATTAAAATATATTAAACACATTTAAACACCTCCCAGATGGTCGAAAGATGTGGTTTCACCCCACGGTGGTGACGCCAGAGGCCGCAGGGCCGGGCAAAACGGATAACTCCACCTTGACCTTTGCCGGTCGCCACTTGGATTTGCTGATGATGATAGTTATTTCCATGTGATTTCAGCAACAAAATCGAAATCCATGACTTGGGGAATCTATAGGAAATAAATGGACACAATTACAGATATATATTTGAAATATGGTTTTGTTCTTGGATCTTTTTTGGGGTTCTTTAAGCGAATCTAAGAAGAGCCATGGAAAATCATACGGATGATACGTATGGGATTTATGTGTATATATATTATAATCATATTAAACTGCAATGAAACAAACGATCACCGGATTTTCTGGGATCACACCGGTCCTGCCCCCTTTTTTGATTTACCATTGGTTTGAAGTTGCATCAACTTCCAAAAATTGAGGCAAACTTTGATATGTAGGCAATGTAGGACCTTGGGACCTCTATGTTTGCTATCGTGTTTTTTTGGTGGCAGATGTGCAATCATCAAAGTCAACAGATGTCAACAGTCAACCCGGTTTAGCATTCGCCGGCACGGCACGTTGCTGCAAGGCAAGCTGGCGCCGATACCACAGCGTGATGGAGACTCCAGCTCCGACTACAGTGAGGTGCCGGACCAGTAAGGGACAAGGGATGTTGGATGACTTGACAGATAACCACTGGTTATATAATCCCATTGATGGGAATATCCCCCCAAAAAAACATCCCATTAGTATCCCTGAACCTTCCCGATATTTAATTCCATTGATCATGAAATATCAAGATAAATATCAAATGTTACCCCTAACCCATAGGATCCATGTATGCTATATATGGTAACATTTACCATCAATATACCCCCAATGTTAGCATATATACCATACATGGATCCTATGGGTAATGAAGAATATAATCCCTGATCTCCCAGATATCCGGATCGAGTTGGCAACGGCATCATCCTATGGGTCCCACGGCACCGTCTCCACCATCATCCACTCGCAGGAAAGCTCCGTGAAGCCCCGCAAGCGGAAGCGCAAAGGTTCCGAGGCGAAAGAGAAGCCAGGCGGTGGTCCCTGGGTCGATGCCCATTTGGACCATCGAAAAATGGTGGATTTGACCATGAAAAACCGGAGAAGTACCCTTTGGTAAACTAAGATAACATCATAACTATGGAAAGATCCACCATTTTTCATGGGAAAATCCACTAGAAATGGCCATTTTCAATGGCTTTTTGTATGTTTACCAGAAGAATGACGTGAAATTTGACCATCAAAATACCCTCTGGATCCCTCTGGATCCCTTTGACATTGGCCACTATCCAAAGCCAAGCTACGTAAAATTACCGGCAACACATACACAAATTATGATGTAATATGATGTACCCTCTGGTTATTTAACATAGCCATGGTATAGATGGCCCATAGAAATAGATGGTTTACCTATTAATAGCATGGTGGATCTGTCCATGGCAAACTGTTAGTCACAACCAGAGGGTAATCTCAAAAAGTCACGAGAGTCGAACGATCAAAAAGTGCAGGATCTGAGACTGTCTTAGTCTTTGATTTTCCCATCTAGATTTGTCAAATAATGTAGAAGGGGTTAAACTAAACCTCTAATATCCATTAATATCCTCCAATTTATGGCCATTCAAGAAGCGGAGCGCACGGTCTTAGACAATGGGATTGAATTCGGCTCGCTAGTTTCAAACCAACACATGGGATTTGATTTGCGAGGGAGAATCCGGCACACGATGGACAACCGCTTAGTCTCGAACTGTTTTGAGGGTTTCAGGCCGAATTTGCAGGTATTCTTACAGAATGGCGTGAAGGTTGGTCTCAATAAACCAAATTTAGATTCGATTCCGGATGCTGCATCTTCATCATCATCATTGTGATTTGGAGAATCTTGAAGACTTGAGGGGACAAAAGAGAGATTGTCCATCAAACCACGCATCCCCCAGCCGTGTCCATGGACTGTGCTGTTAGGGCAACGAGAGAACCGACTCGCGCAGCACACTCGTGCCGGATGCTCAGGGGAACCTGTTCATGGGCTATATTGGCTATATATTCATATTATTCATGGGAATTGGATTGGTTTAAGGGAAAATCTACAGGAAGCCATGGTTTTTACCATTAAATATGGGGGTTTCCTGTAAATTTTCCCTTAAACCAACCCAGTGACAATGGGGGTCCTTAACCCAACACTACATGGTTTTTCACAATATTCGGGGTACGGTGGTGAACCCAAAGCCAGAAACCACACTCAATTTACCGGATGACTTATCATCTTGGGCATACATACAGACCATCAGCTGACGGCTTTTGGCTTGGGGTAAACTGGTAAACTCTGCATCAATATGACCTCGGGCAAACCTGACATAGAAGTAGGGATAGCAACGGGCGAAGCAATTCTGACGTGAAAACCATCTCTCAGCCTGTGTTTCTAGTGGATCGAATCAGGGTGGCAGTGTGGCAGGGGGGTTCCTCAACCCTGCTCCTTCGTGAAGGCTCATTGCTGACTTTGGGGTGGCGAGCATCACCATGTTGCCAGACATATCTGCCATTGTTGGTGAACTAATCCAGCGATTTTGTGAGGTTCGAGCATCCTGCATGCAGGAGGCACAAACGGAAGGTTTCTGTGGCAAGTGGCTGATTCTTGTGGAAAGAAATTGATTTTGTTGGTTACATCCATATACCCTCTGGTAAACTAACATAACTATGGAAAATCACAATTTTTCATGGGAAAATCCACTATAAATGGCCATTTTCAATAGCTATGTTAAATTACCAGAGGGTATCATATATTCTCTGTCGCAGTCGTGTACACAGGAAAGTGAAACATAAAACGCATTCCCGTCAATATTAGATCATAAAGAAGTGGTATTATTGGTGTGCCATGTTGTGCGGCATGGCATTTTTATCATTTTTCAGGTCTCAAGATCCATGTTTAAGGTACCTCCGGATCAGGTTTTTCAGATTCAACACGACGAAAAACCTGACCTACAAGGTGGCGTCCCCCATTTTTTTTTGTTGGTCTATAGCCATCTATAACCCCCATGAACATCCATTAACTATAGAATGATATGTGTAGATCATCTATGATCATCTTGTGTAGATATATCTTGGATGGACCATAGTCGACCCTATGAACCAACTTAGCAGGGGTCCCCACTGACAGTAGCTGAACTGAAACCTCAGGAGTGAGATCGCCTTCGCTGCTTCGCGACGTGTGAAGATATGCAGTTTCAGAAAAAACTTCGAAGATGCAGTTTGGCTCCAGGTTTTACTTAGGGTTGGACACAAAAACACTGCGAATAAATAACTCTCTCTCTCTATATATATATGTGCGTGTGTGTGTACACGCATAAATGTTGGATAACACCTAATTATATATTATATGTTAGTTATATAATATAATATATATATAGATTATGTTATATTCAACCAACTATATCCACCCAGAATTTTCATGAATGACAGCAATCACATCATGTCTTGGAGGTCCAAATTCTTGACCTTGATGTTTGACATGGATACGGCAGATGATTTCACATGTGTTTTTTCGTTTCAACATGTTGCTTCTCCTAGCTTGGATGATGATTCTCCATAGGCTACGAATTTTTTGGGGTGGCTCAACAACCAGCCCTATACTAGCGGACTGGAAGTCAGAATGCGGCACGCATTCCCAAAACGTTGGGCGACGGCGAGAGAGATAGAATGCGGCCCGCTTAGAATGCGGCCCGCTTAGAATGCGGCCGAAACCACACACGCAAAAAACATGGGGAACATATACAGATATGATATGAACCAACTATGCCTGGAGCAACAAAAAGGTCAATGTTAGAGACCACCCCCATCATTGAAAAGAATGCACATGGTGTTTCCACAATGTTGTAGACAATGATTGCGTACAATTACCCCATAATTTTTGAGGGCGGCACCCCGTGGGGGAGTGAATTTTCATTAAAAATGATGATAACACACTGTAAATACCGATGTTTTATGCATTTGGAGGGTCTAAAACCCTAGTAAAACACACTTTTTTCATCATGATCTTGACATGAGATATACAAAAACATTGACAGGCACCAAAAAAACCAAAAAAACCAAACCACTAGATGCACCAAACATCGACAGGCACCAAAAAAACCAAAAAAAACAAAAATTCCAGCAACTACTCAGAAGTGGACCCTATCATAGTTCCTGGAAATTTTAGTTTTTTTGGTTTTTTTGGTGCCTGCGCACGTTTGGTGCATCTAGTGGTTTGTTTTTGTTCTTTTTTTTTGGTGCCTGTGCAGGTTTGGCGACTCTGACTTCACAAAACATTGACAGGCACCAAAAAAACCAAAAAAACCAAACCACTAGATGCACCAAACATCGACAGGCACCAAAAAAAACAAAAATTCCAGCAACTACTCAGAAGTGGACCCATAGTTCCTGGAAATTTTAGTTTTTTTGTTTTTTTTGGTGCCTGTGCAGGTTTGGTGCATCTCTTGGTTTGTTTTTTTTGTTTTTTTTGGTGCCTGTGCAGGTTTGGTGACTCTGACTTCACAAAACATTGACAGGCACCAAAAAAACCAAACCACTAGATGCACCAAACATCGACAGGCACCAAAAAAAACAAAAAAAAACAAAAATTCCAGCAACTACTCAGAAGTGGACCCATAGTTCCTGGAAATTTTAGTTTTTTTGTTTTTTTTGGTGCCTGTGCAGGTTTGGTGCATCTAGTGGTTTTTTTTTTTGATTTTTTTGGTGCCTGTGCAGGTTTGGTGACTCTGACTTCACAAAACATTGACAGACACCAAAAAAACCAACAAAAACCAATAATTCCAGCAACTACTCAGAAGTGGACCATAGTTCCTGGAAATTTTAGTTTTTTACTTTTTCCTTTGCAGGTTTGGTGCATCTAGTGGTTTGTTTTTTTTTTGTTTTTTTTTGGTGCTTGTGCAGGTTTGGTGCATCTATTGGTTTGTTTGTTTTTTTGATGCCTGTGCAGGTTTTGGTGATTCTAGATTGTGTATGTTTGGATCTTGGCCATATTTTAAACTTATGTTTCAAAGAAGCAAACATACCGTTATCTTTGAATAGCTATGCCACCACACAGGTTGCCTGACCTTAATATTCAACAGCTTGACACACGTCTTTGTCTCTTAGGCTTTCTCTCTGTCTCTCTGTCTAACTATTGAAATGAGACTGCCGACAAGACTCTGCAAGATAACAATGATAAACGAGATATGTACCTACTTCTTGAATTGTAACATTCCCACCATCCTTCTTATCCAGAGTGTTAGATGTGCTTGTGTTATATCCACCTATATAATGTATGCCCTTCCCACCATACTTCTTATGTAGCGCAAATGCTTCTATATACAATATATATATATGTTAAGATGATATCAATCTAACAAGTTCATGAAGAAACACCTATATCATATCAATTGCTTTTAGCAATAGAATTTCTCCATCACCACCATCACACTAGTCACCTATTGCTACTGTATATTCTGTTCCAAGATGTGCAGCTACCCATTCTTATGGCATGTTGTGCAGCAGATGTTTTCTGTTATGTGCTGATTGTTTGTAGTTCTTTGCAAGCCTCACAGGAAAAATTGAATCTTGCCACAAGAGTCTGTAAATGCCAGTGATTTATGACAGCATATGAGAGCCTTTGGAGGTGAACTCTATTTTTTGCTCTAAAATAACGGTTTTAAGCCCACTTTGGTCACAAAACACTGTAAATACCAGTGTTTTTGACCATTTTTAGAGCAAAAATCACTCCCCCATGAGGGGCCGTTCTGTAATTTTTCAGGTTTCCAACTGGTCAATTGATGTTTAGGTTGCCATAGTTTAACAAGTTCCAGGGTCATGCCAGAAGTGGTTTTGTTTGCCATGCCACTCTTGCTCTGTGGGTGGTTCAAGCCATCGTTTTAAGAACGCATGGATTACCCAGACCTAGTTTGGAGGACAGTTGATCTGTGACGTCAAGTGATGTCATGTGGATATGGGGATTGCGGCTACACTGGGGCAAGCCACCAGTGTGAATTCATCAATCTCTAAAGTTTAGACCAGCTAATATGTCCGTTTTTAAAGATTTTCCCTAGAATGACCAACAGGAAATGCAGCCCACAGTTTGGAACAAGCAATTCTGCATGACCACAGCAATCGTAGCAAAATTCCTACAGTCCCCTTACTTTCTATATGTTTTTTGGACCTTGGTACACTTTTTGTTGACCACTGGAGCATTCTGCTCCTTTCTTCGCGGTCATGGAGGGTCAGGTTGCTGTACGCATCAAGGTGCAAATCACCGTGGATGCTTCACCGGATTTGTGTTGAAACTATGGAGACAGCCCAAAGCTTGGCAAACTGATGAAGTGAGGAGAAACTGGTGGGAAAGCCAACGATTGCATGGAAATGATTGGAAATACTTGGACGACAACTAGTGCCCTTGGAAATGGCCGTGTGACCAGTGATAAATATTGGGGATGGAAGACATAAATAGACACAAAGGGCTAGGCTCGGCTCGGCTCGCGACAGCTCCACAAAAAAGCTCGAGAGTTTCGGATTTCATTCAGACCATGGGCCCCATCGACATGTTTCTTTCAGGATGGGACATGTTTCAGACTTGGGAAGTCTTCCCCTCAAGGATAATTTGTGGTATATTTTGTCATTATTGGCCATAGGATCCATGTATGGTATATATGCTAACATTTGGGGTATATTGATGGTAAATGTTACGATATATAGCATACATGGATCCTATGGGTTGGCTTATGGATTTCCTTTGGGTTAATAGCCATCAAGGCTCAACATGGATCAACATGGAACTTGCACCGCAGGCCAAGACCAAGATCGCCTATGGCGAGGAGCTACTCGTTGGGGGGCTCAACTGGGGATGAAACAACTCTCAAGCATTTTATCTACTGTGTTACTGTAAAAACTATAAACCCTGGCTATATACATCGGGGTAAATTATAATGACCTCACTATAATCATGCTTAGTAAGGGGAAACATCCCCACGATAGCCTTATTTCGGGTTAGTGAAATATTGTAATTTACCCAGATCTTATACTTGTACCAGCCGCAAATTAGATGGAACAGTTGGAACGCTGGAAATAAATTGGAACATATCATCTATACCAGCCTGGAAACACATTTCTATCATTTTTAGTGGTTGCTATAATTGATGGCGCACTGAAACGCAGAAACCAAACCGTCTTTGAGGCACCACATGGCAGAATACAAGCAATGAACGGATAGATGAAGTAGATATATATATATATAAGTAGATGGATAGATATACATGATCAATTGATCAACTGCTAGACATATACATACAATTACATACACATATCTGTCTGATGGGTAAATTAGAACGACCTCACTGCGACGTCAATATAATCATGGTTAGGATTCGGCGAAACATCCCCAAGATAACCTTATTTATCTTATTTTAGGTTAGTGCAATGTTATCATTTTCCCAGACATATATACCTGGTTGGTGGTTTCAAACATGTTTTATTTTCCATTTCATATATGGGATAATCCTTCCCATTGACGAACTCCATCATTTTTCAAGATGGTTACAACCACCAACCAGATATCATTATAGCCATTCTGATCATTTCTCCCCTTCAATTCCCATTTATATCCCATGACGGATCCATGGTGCTGTTATATATGGGAACATGGATCCCATCAATATAGGTATAGTATAGTATAGTATAGATGGTTAAAACTACCAACCAGTCTAGTATAGATTATCAATTTCCATAGGTATGTTCCCTGGTTACAACCACCAACCAGATACTGGATTTCTCCCACATATCTATAGGTAATGTTAGCCAGGTCTGTGGCTCTGTGCCACAGCTGGGCTCCTGGAAACTCAACGACGCCGCCTTGATGCAGTGCCAGGCATGAAAAATGCTGGGGTTCACCATATTGAAGCCATAAAAATGGAGCTTAACCCATAAAATGTGGGGGATTTGCACGAAAAAATATACTTGAGTTATGTTAGCTGAGGTGGTTTAGAAGAGTGGTTTAACTCGGCTTTGTGGTCGATATATACTGTATATATATTTATAGAATTATATATATGTATGATTATATATATATGATTATATATATATATGATTATATTTCTATATATATATATGATTATATATATATTTGATTATATATATATGATTATATATATATGATTATATAATATGTGATTATATATATATATATATGATTATGTATATGATTATATATATTTGATTATCAAAGGAAGTTTAGGGGGAGAAACTTCCGTGTTACGGACTTTTAGAATGTCAGGGAAAGAGTTAGTCAAAGAAAGAGTTAGTCAAAGAAACAGTTAGTCAGGGAAAGAGTTAGTCAAAGAAAGAGTTAGTGAGGGAAAGAGTTAGTCAAAGAAAGAGTTAGTCAGGAAAAGGTAGTCAAAGAAGTTAGTCAGGTGAGGTAGTCAAAGAAAGAGTTAGCAAAGAAACAAGTTAGTCAAAGAAAGAGTTAGTCAAAGAAGAGTTAGTCAAAGAAAGAGTTAGTGCGGGAAAGAGTTAGTCAAAGAAAGAGTTAGCAAAGAAACAGTTAGTCAGGGAAAGAGTTAGTCAAAGAAAGAGTTAGTGAGGGAAAGAGTTAGTCAAAGAAATAGTTAGTGAGGGAAAGAGTTAGTCAAAGAAAGAGTTAGTGAGGGAAAGAGTTAGCAAAGAAACAGTTAGTCAAAGAAAGAGTTATCAAAGAAACAGTTAGTCAGGGAAAGAGTTAGTCAAAGAAAGAGTTAGTCAAAGAAAGAGTTAGTCAGGGAAAGAGTTAGTCAAAGAAAGAGTTAGTCAAACAAAGAGTTAGTCAAAGAAAGAGTTAGTCAGGGAAAGAGTTAGTCAAAGAAAGAGTTAGTGAGGGAAAGAGTTAGTCAAAGAAAGAGTTAGTGAGGGAAAGAGTTAGTCAAAGAAAGAGTTAGTCAAACAAAGAGTTAGTCAAAGAAACAGTTAGTCAGGGAAAGAATTAGTCAAAGAAAGAGTTAGTGAGGGAAAGAGTTAGCAACGAAACAGTTAGTCAGGGAAAGAGTTAGTCAAAGAAAGAGTTAAAACTCTAGGATCGTTCCCTCACTGTAAATGGCATTGCAAGTGGTGCTGGTGGAGGAGTTGCCGATGGAGTTTTGGAGGAAGTCTCGCACGAAATGCGTTTTTGAGAGATAGCAGATGCACGAAACCCTGTGTTTTTCCATACAAAGTCCGTCCCCGAACGTCGATGATCTACCTCTGCGGTGCGACGGGTGCGAGACGGTCTCGTGTGTGGTCGGATCATGCTCGGATCATGGGCGGATCATGCTCGGATCGGTTCCGCATTGTAAATGGGTTTCACCTGTTTTTCGTGCATGTGCGGTCGACAGAATTCCATTGTGATTTGCAACTGTAGGATCGTTCCCGCAATGTAAATGGGATTGCAAGTGGTGCTGGTGGATGAGTTGCCGATGGAATTCCATTGTGATTTGCAACTCTAGGATCGTTCCCTCACTGTAAATGGGATTGCAAGTGGTGCTGGTGGAGGCGTTGCCGATGGAGTTTTGCAGAAAGTCTCGCACGAAATGCGTTTTTGAGAGATAGCAGATGCACGAAACCCTATGTTTTTCCATACAAAGTGCGTCCCCGAACCTCGATGATCTACCTCTGCGGTGCGACGGGTGCGAGACGGTCTCGTGTGTGGTTGGATCATGCTCGGATGGTCTCGGATCGGTCTCGGATCGGTTCCGCATTGTAAATGGGGTTTCAACTGTTTTTCGTGCATGTGTGGTCGACAGAATTCCATTGTGATTTGCAACTGTAGGATCGTTCCCGCATTGTAAATGGGGTTGCAAGTCGTGCTGGTGGATGAGTTGCTGATGGAATTCCATTGTGATTTGCAACTCTAGGATCGTTCCCTCACTGTAAATGGCATTGCAAGTGGTGCTGGTGGAGGAGTTGCCGATGGAGTTTTGGAGGAAGTCTCGCACGAAATGCGTTTTTGCACGAAACCCTATGTTTTTCCATACAAAGTCCGTCCCCGAACCTCGATGATCTACCTCTGCGGTGCGATGGGTGCGAGACGGTCTCGTGTGTGGTCGGATCATGCTCGGATCATCCTCGGATCGGTCTCGGATCGCTCTCGGATCGGTTCCGCATTGTAAATGGGGTTTCAACTGTTTTTCGTGCATGTGCGGTCGACAGAATTCCATTGTGATTTGCAACTCTAGGATCGTTCCCTCACTGTAAATGGGATTGCAAGTGGTGCTGGTGGAGGAGTTGCCGATGGAATTCCATTGTGATTTGCAAGTCTAGGATCGTTCCCTCCCTGTAAATGGTTGCGTCAAGGTTCCTTCGTGCTGTGGCTGCATTGGTAATACTATTGTCTTTTGCAGCTGGACTTCGTAAATCGTATTGGAGTGGCTGCATGAAGGCTGCCACAGTGATTTGTTGGCAGATTTTTTTCATTTTGGCGCTAGTGAATTTCCTTCTAAAAATTCTTTTAAAAAGTGCTTCAAAATCGTCTTTTTTTCGCTCTGGCGTCGAGATCCGGTTTTGGAGCTACAATTTCCGACGCCGTTGTGCGTAGTTCTATTGTGTTTTGCAACTCAGTCTCTGCAGATCGCATTGTGAAGGCTGCGTCAAGGTTGCTTCGTGCTGTGGCTGCATTCGTAATACTATAGTCTTTTGCAGCTGGGTCTCGTAAATCGTATTGGAGTGGCTGCATGAAGGCTGCGACAGTGATTTGTCAGCAGATTTTCTCCATTTTGGCGCTAGTGAATTTCCTTCTAAAAATTCTTTTAAAAAGTGCTTCAAAATCGTCTTTTTTTCGCTCTGGCGTCGAGATCCGGTTTTGGAGCTGCAATTTCCGACGCCGTTGTGCGTAGTTCTATTGTGTTTTGCAACTCAGTCTCTGCAGATCGCAATGTAATGGCTGCGTCAAGGTTGCTTCGTGCTGTGGCTGCACTCGTAATACTATTGTCTTTTGCAGCTGGATCTCGGAAATCGTCTTGGAGTGGCTGCATGAAGGCTGCGAAATGGGTTTGTTAGCAGATTTTCTCCATTTTGGCACTCGTGTTTTTTTTGTTGGACGTACGTTTAGAGCAGTGTGAAGTGGAAGTGTGGGGCGTGAAGAGTGCAGTGTGAAGTGTGAAGTGTGAAGGAAGCAGTGGGAAGTGGGAAGTGTGGAGTGTGAAGTTTCAGTTTGGAGTGCGAAGAGCGCAGTGTGAAGTGTGAAGTGTGAGGTTTGGAGTGTGAAGGAAGCAGTGAGAAGTGAGAAGTGTGAAGTGTGAGTGAAGTGTGGAGTGTGAAGTGCGAAGTGAGAAGTGTGAAGTTTGGAGTGTGAAGTTTGGAGTGGGAAGGAAGCAGTGAGAAGTGAGAAGTGTGAAGTGTGGAGTGTGAAGTGCGAACTGAGAAGTGTGAAGTTTGGAGTGTGAAGGAAGCAGTGAGAAGTGAGAAGTGTGAAGTGAGAAGTGTGAAGTGTGGACTGTGCAGTGTGGAGTGCGAAGAGCGCAGTGTGAAGTGTGAAGTGTGAAGCGTGAGGTTTGGAGTGTGAAGGAAGCAGTGAGAAGTGTGAAGTGTGGACTGTGAAGTGTGAAGTGTGAGTGAAGTGTGGAGTGCGAAGTGCGAAGTGAGAAGTGTGAAGTGTGAGTTTTGGAGTGTGAAGTTTGGAGTGGGAAGGAAGCAGTGAGAAGTGTGAAGTGTGGAGTGTGAAGTGCGAAGTGAGAAGTGTGAAGTTTGGAGTGTGAAGGAAGCAGTGAGAAGTGTGGACTGTGAAGTGTGAAGTGTGGACTGTGAAGTGTGGACTGTGAAGTGTGGATGTGAAGTGCGAAGTGAGAAGTGTTAAGTTTGGAGTGTGAAGGAAGCAGTGAGAAGTGTGGACTGTGAAGTGTGAAGTGTGAAGTGTGGACTGTGAAGTGTGAAGTGTGCAGTGTGAAGTGTGCAGTGTGAAGTGTGAGGTTTGGAGTGTGAAGGAAGCAGTGAGAAGTGAGAAGTGTGGAGTGTGAAGTTTGAAGTTTGGAGTGCGAAGAGTGCAGTGTGCAGTGTGAGGTGTGGAGTGTCGAGGGAAGGACACGGTCGGGACAGGGTGTCTTTGAACTATAGGTCATTTATGTTTGGGAAACTTCCGCCGCCGGCTTGCCCGGGTCTATGTTATATGTATATGACTATATTTATATGATTATATACATATGATTATATATATATATATAATTATTTTTATGATTATATAAATTATATATGTATATATAAATTATATATATATATATTATGTATATATATATATATTTATAAATTATATAATATTGTAAAATTATATGTATATATATATATGTGTATGCAGTTAAGTTATATAAGCGGGTTTATAAGAGCCAAACTACAGCTGGGATGGGGCCAAGTTCTTTGGTGACTTGGGCCAGCAGATCAGCCAAGTGGCCAAGTGTTGTGAATGGTGACATCACCAACAGTAGGCATCAAGCGTGGGAATCGAAATGGTAAGGATGGGATCTCACTGATGTCACTGATGCCACTTATCACCAGCAGCTCCAGGGGGAAGTTTGGTCTCTGGCAACCCGCCTGCCTAGTGGTGTGCGAGTGTGGAAGCTCAAGGGTCGATCACTACCACGGATTCTTTGGTGAACTGCGGGTTTCAACCACCAATGGCTTTGCCAATGTTCTTCAACCCTAGATGCCTGGCCTAGATGCTGGAAGTAAAGAATCGGTCATTTTGACCCGGCCATCGAAAGACACAAACTTTGACAGCAGGAAAATCCTGCGTAAATGCGTGATTATCCATTGCCAGGTTGGGTTTCAATAGGAACATCATTCTCCAAAGCCTAGTTTTTCAATGGAAGACCATACATAAATCATTCTAAATCATCAGATGAACCATGATGAACATCTATGAACATCTCCAAACTCACATAAAATCATGGTGATCATGGTGAATAGTACTCTCTGGTAATTTAACGTAGCTATGGAAAATCACAATTTTTAATGGGAAAATCCACTATAAATGGCCATTTTCAATAGCTATTTTGACATAACCAGAGGGTACCAATCTTTTTCCATCACCCCTTCACCAATGGACGACATCCAGCGCAGGTCGAGTTGAAGCTGGTGCAACGGCCACAAGGCGGACAGGTCCTGTGGCACGGGGCCGGGCCTGGAGCCCCGGCTTGAGATTTTATCTCATAAAATTATTTGATGACAATTTTTTAAGAGTGGTTCAATTTTAGATATGTATATATATATAATAATAACAATAATAATAATAAATAATAATAATAATAACAATAACAATAATAATAATATTGAATATATATATGTGTGTGTGTACATATATAAAATTAATTATAATTAATTATATATGCATATACTGCTGCATGCGGGGGCCTGCATAGGATGACGAGGGTTTCCAGGGCGGTACCCTAAATCATCGGGCCCAGGCCCGGTGGGAATGCCAACCTGGTGTTGGAGACCAGTATTGGCCGCTGGGCAAATGGCACGACATGACACGGCGCAGGTGGCATGTTGGTGTTGATTCCGGCCATGAGGCCATGGATTTTTGGAAAAAATGAAGATTTTTTGGTGAAAATGTGTGGCTACTATAATTTTAATGGAACAAGTTAGATCAGTTAGGGCCACGGATCATTTATAAAGATGTGAAAGGGATTTTGCAGAGCATTTTCTACAAATCTGTTTGTGAATGGACGGGGAAATAGCAGAAACGTGCATGAGAACATGAAGAACAAAAAGATATCGATACTGATCATCACATACCATTGAATTACATACCGCTGTTGCAACTCTATTCCATATGTTTGCTGTCCGACACACTGACACACACATATATTCTTATCATTTATATAAACCAACTTTTCGGTTATTTATATGGTTGTTGTGAATTATTGTGGTGATTTCTGGTGATTTCGTCCAACTTTCTGGTTGTTTGTACCATTTTATTCCGAGGCCGAGTGGGAGCCCAAGGCTCTCGTTTTGTGAGCATTGAAGGCATGCGGCAGCAGCTGGGGCTTGACTCGGCTTGACTCCAAACATGGGGATTGGGTCCCTGGGTTCCTGTGATACTCAATTTTTGGGGTTGAACCATCAATTGCCAACTATTTCGAGGTTATATGTATATGTACCAATTCTTTCTATATTTGGGCAATTCATGAAGGCGCTCCCATGCTTGAACCCAACACCTGTGGATCATGCCCCTTCCTTGACTCCAAATACCAAAGTAGGGTCGAGGAGAAAGACCTTTCTTTGTTAGGTCCAGGACTCTCAGGGTATATACTGTATATACATATATAGATATTTGCATGGACATCCTAACCTCTTTTTTTTGGAGTGAAAACATGTGTGCGAGGCTTTGATCCATGACCAAATGAAGACTAATTACACATGATATATTCGAGGGAGAATTGTATGCTATATGTACATATATATATATATGTATTATATTATATATATATGGCGGATTATATTATATTATACTATATTATATTATATTATATTATATATATATATATTATATATATATATTAAATATATATATATATTTATATTCATGGTCAGTGTTTTGAAGCGCGTGACCATGCAACTGTGGACATCTGTTGGCTACAGTACATACAAAGCGCTTCACCACTAATAGGATGAACTACGAAAACGACCAGTGATCATCGGTCAAATGTGGTACATGCAATCAGAAGCCACAGCCAATTCAACATGTTTTAGCAACCAAACTTTTTTTCAACAAATTGCTTGGCAAAGCTCTGACTTTGCCAAATTCAACTCCACATGTTCATTTCACATCTGGCTATGGATCAATACCTATTAATTAATACCATTTTTAGGGGAATGAACATCCATAAATCCCAGCTATTTTGATGTGAACTACAGGGGTACAAGGTTTTGACACACTGCCATCTGAGCAATTTCCCTGCCATGAGTTGCGTCAACTCAAAGAGTGGTCGCTCCCGGCCAGGCGCGGTAAGGGGGGTGGCACAAGCGAAAAACGGGTCAGGTTGTGCAACAGTAAAATTTTCCCAACAGAATCTAACCAGGTTGGTGGTTTGGAACATGAATTTTATTTTCCATAATATATGGGATGTCATCCTTCCCATTGACTAATATTTTTCAGAGGGGTTGAAACCACCAACCAGTAACATTGTGGTAATTCGTTCCTATTTTTTTGGGGGTTCAACTATTGACACCAGTGAATGTACTTTTCCTTGTAATTATATATTTTCAGAAGGATAAGTGACAGACGTTCTTTGGAGAAAAGCAGCTGTCCAAGCGTTTAGGATGACAAAGAAATTCTTTTTCAGGACGTGGGCGGGATCCATCATATCATTGGTCTAAGGGATATTTACCTGAACCCCCAAAATTACCGGAAGCCTCTAGAATTGCTTGTAAAATAAACATAATAAACCCACGGTTCCTGGTGGATCTCCCCGAATGAACACGGAGATTCAAAGATCATGGTTCTGGAGACTAAATACTCCCAGTCGCTGTGGCAGGCAAATAAATATACAGAATATACCTTATGAGTCATCCGGCATTTTATATAAACCTCCTGGAATTGGTTTTAAAGAAAGTCTGCAGGAAAATTACCCTCTGGTAATTTAACATAGCTATTGAAAATGGCCATAGAAATAGCTGATTTACCCGTTAAAAATGGTGATTTTCCCAAAATTCATGACATTTGGGTGTAAGAACCAGGTCCTGTAGATTTTCCTACCACTCCACGGCACCAGGACTCTCGCGGCTCAGTACGCATAGTGGAGGAGACACCCACAGCCTGCGTTCCTCGGTCCTGCTGACCTGCTAGATATTCTTCTCAACAGCTTCAGAAGATGTTCGTCAAGTGGTGCATGAATCATCACTAGTATTGTAACCATTACATAATATCTGGGTAAATTATAACGACCTCACTGCGACCTCACTGGAATCATGGTTAGTAAGGGAAATGATCCCCAAATGGCCTTAATTCAGGTTAGTGAATTATTATAATTTACCCAGATAATATAGATTGCTATTAAATATAAATTCACAAGCAAAATCAGATCCCATGTGCTCATCATGCCTGTGGGCAACATCCTATCGTGGAAGCAATCTGGAAGCAACTATCGCGGATTCCAAGGCACTCTCCATGCCAACAGCAAGGAATCTCAGAGCGAGACAAGCCAGCGACCACCAGGACAACTTTTAGCGTGGACCTCCTTCCTGAAACTTTGTTGTTTCTCTTTCTGTATGTTTGGTCGGTTTTGGTTGGTGACTCAGATATCTTCGCATTGTGATTCCTTTTTTTTTAAACATTTTCAAAACAATGTTTTGTTGAAGATCCATGACGATCACCCTCATTGTTTCTTTGATGAGATAGTTTCCGGACTTTCTGCGCCCACAGCCAGGACTTCCAACGCTTGAAGCTGGTCGACCGCGGCTCACCGCAGAGGCAGTGCTGAGAATTTTGGGAGTAGAGAAGGTGAGGGTCCCTCAAATTCTTACTATTTTTTTAAAAATCGTATATTGCACCTGGGGCTTAAAGGGAGCTTGGGGATGCTGAGAAAACTGTTCAGGGTATAAACACTTTGTTGTGGTGGGGCTAGAGGCGAGGTGGAAGAAAAGAGCTGCAGAAGCACCGTGTTACACCCTCTAAAATGTACCTTTCAGAATCTACTTCGCTCCAAGTGAGGATCCCTCAAATTCTGAAGGTAGTGAGAATCGAAGCCCCAAAACTATAGCTGAGATTTGGGGCCCAGCCCCTCATTTTTCCTCATGTTCATTCTCTCTTACACAGTACTTGCGCTGTTTTTGGTCCACATAGATATAGCCCGCCGCACTGAGATCTTGAGCAAGCTGGACCGGGAAAGCAAACATGGTAAGACCTCGGCCTCAGCCAAGTTGGTGGCAGCAATGGGCCCTGGAGGCGGAGAAAATCGGAGAGAGAGCGGTATTTCAACAGAGAATCGCCATGGTAATCATCTATAGATTCACTATCACTATATATATATATATTGGTTGGTGGTTTGGAACATGAATTTTATTTTCCATAATATATTGGGAATAATCCTTCCCATTGACTTTCATATTTTTCAAGATGGTTAAAACATGTTAAAACCACCAGTATAGTATAGATTATCAGTTTCCATAGGTATGTTCCGGTACCAGAGGGTGCATGATTGTACTACTGTGTGAAATACATTGAAATACCTTAGATCCTTCCCAATTATGAAGTCGCCAAGATCAAGAAACAAATTACAAGGTTTTTACTGAGCTATACACGTACACGTGCATTTGGACATTGTATGTGATAGATGCATACTATGCAAACAGATAAATATTAGTTATATATATATATACATATCACAGACGTGTATTTGCACAGATACCAATATCCATCATTTATGACACCCCCCTGGTAAACTAACATAGCTATGGAAATTAACATGTTTAATAGGTAAATCATCTATAATCATCTATAAATGGTCCATGTTCCATAGCTATGCTAAATTACCAGAGGGTAATGTTGGTATTGTATGATATGATACCCCATAGGATCCATGTATGGTATATATGCTAACATTTACCATCAATATACCCCACGTTTAGCATATATACCATACATGGATCCTATGGGTACTGTGCTGTCCCATCCCTTCATTCCAGTTGTGAGGCGGCCTTGGTATCGCTGCCTCCCAACGCGTGGTATCGCTCCCTCCACTGCCGAGTCGCGTAAAGGTAGCGCCGGTGCTGCCTCAGGTGCCACAGGTGGAGATACCATGGCGTTTGTCATGGCGAATAAATGGGATCTCATGGGGACTTAATGGGAAATTCATGGGAATTTACAGGGAATAAGTGGGGATGAATGGAGATTGTAGTGGTTTTTCTTGTTTCTATAGCGCGGATATGACATGATATGATTATGATTCGATCATGTTTTAAGGAAGCGTTTTGCGAAGAAACAAGGGAGAACTCCCGCCACTTTTTTTCTATTTCAATTTGAAGTGGAGGAAAATCCTGAAGATACCAGTTATTTGAGGGGAATCCGACCCTGCTTTTTCAAGGGGGGATCTGAAGTTCCTGGAGGATTAACATGGGAGGAACAACAGCATCATGGGATGAGTAATTAGTAATGAACAAGACTTAAAAAGTGTGTTTAGCAAAGAAATGGAGCATGCTTATGGGGACAAGCAGAACATATTGGCATTTAGCCCGCAGCATCTGATGACGTTGAAGAGAGGGAGGGAGCCATCATCATTGGACTAATTGCTTTGAAACTTGGAATGATAAAACAAAAAAGAATCAGGAAACAATAAGCACCAACACTAGTTGAGACTTGACCTGCGGTTGATCCTGATCCACAAACAAGTTGAAATACCGTTTGGCAATCAGCTCTTGGGCTGGAAAATCGGCAATAGTTCGATATTGTTCGATGATCTTCTCATTTCGATACAGCCATAGTTTAGTTTGCTGAATTTTTCCCATGATTTTCAACTTTCCCAATCAAACTTCAATATTCAGAGCTGATTTTCCCATGGATTTCCTCATGGATTTTCGCCAGGCGGCGCCGCGCACCTCCACCCCCTCCGCCGAAAAACGCCGCCCGGCGGCCGAAAAGGTGGAAAAGGTGGAGGCGAGACGGTCAAAGAGCCTGGGCCCCCAGCTGTGGATGAACAATGGGTTACCGTCTGGTCAACAAACATAGCTATTGAAAATGGCCATAGAAATACTGGATTTACCCATTAAAGATTGTGATTTTCCATATCTGGTTGGTGGTTTGGAACATGAACTTTATGACTTTCCATATATTGGGAATAATCCTTCCCATTGACGAACTCATATTTTTCAAGATGGTTAAAACATGTTAAAACCACCAACCAGGTTAATATTATGACTAATGTTTTGTAGCAAATATGGGTCAGTATTTCACTGGTTTGTACCATGGGTGAATACTATGACTAAAATGGGTACTGTGTCAATAGTTTTGTATTTTAATAATCATATTAATGCTATATGATGATTGAATATGATTGAATATCAATGATTATAATGTTAATGCTATGTTAATGCTGGGTCAGAATATGGTCAATATATTGATGTATTGGGTTAACCACGGGTTGATAAATAATATATGACTAATGATGGGATTTTATTTGATTTACCATCCGGTAATCAAACATGGCTAGCTGGGACATCACATATAAATAGAGTAAATATGGAGGTTTTGATCAGAAAAAAACACCATCTATACATGGATTTGCCAAATGGATTTGCCAAATGGATTTGCCAAATGGATTTGCCAAATGGATTTGCCATTGCCATTTGCATTTTGAATATACAAATCAATGGTGACACCGTGAGATGAATGATATTATGTTATCCATATATATATAAATAATCCATTTAGAAATTTACAGTATTTGAATAGATCATCATATATAGATATCGAATTTGAACCAAAGCTATGACATATAATTGTACACGCGAACAAAAAGGGGTACATGTTAATAGAACGCAGAAATGTATACGGGTGAAGCATGTGCCCAGATGATTCTGAGCCACAATCCAATATTAGCCACAATATTAGCCACAATGATGACCGATTGCTGTATAATATGGCTAATGCACCAATTATTTACCGTGGATTCAAGGTGCCCTCGGTAGAACACCTGGGCCGATTGCGTGACAAGCTGTGACAAGCCACAAGAACTTTTTTGCGCCCAGTATTTGAGGCAAAAACCTAACAATTATTTGCCAACGTCTACTTCCAAAAAACCATAAATAGCCCAAACATAGGTGTATATCTTTTATAACACACACACACACATGTATGCGTATATATATATATATGTGTGTGAAACATCTGAAGAGATGTAAAACTTCTATTGCTGGATTTTTTCTTGATGATTTGTTTTTTTTCCTGTTTCATGTTTCTGACAACAAGGGTTACTTTCAGCAGGGGGACCATCCATGTACTGTGTGCGATGGTCCAACGAAGCGGCTACAGTACATGCGGATATCACGGCTGATCACCGTGACGTACCTGCAATTCTTTTTCGGTGATGGGAAGAGGCTCAACCCAAGAACCTCCATGTCGTCAACTTGCAATTTGCAATTTTCGCTGCGCTGTTGTCGCAATCTGTAGAGGAAGATCACGATTTAGTTCAGATGGAACTGTTACATCTAACAAGGACGTAGAATGATTACCTTCGCACGGGTTCTCACTTCTGATCATCCAACCACTCCTGTCAGGCTTAATTGAAGTGTTTTTTGCACGTACGATGCGTTCCACATCAGAATTCGCAAAGATATTTCTGAGCAAGTGTGTGTGTGTGTTTTTATGTATGGTATATATCCTCCATGGATGGAGGATGTTATTATTGCTCTCAGGTGCTCCCCGCGCCACTTGCGGCCCGAAACCGCGCGGTACGCGAAGTGCCGCGGTGCGGCGGCACGGCCAAGGGGCGCAAGTGCAGGGCTTGGAGTGGTCCTCGCCGGAGGCGTTGGGGATGGTGACATCTGTTGAAATCCCCCATTCAATGTTTCCAAATATGGGTAAATCATGGTAAATCATGGTAAATCTATGTAAATCTTGGTAAATCTATGTAAATCTCCTAAACCGTGGTTTCTGTTCTTTTTAACTTTTTACTGTAAAGATTAGGGGGATGGGATTAATTTGATAGCCCACTGAGAAATAGTTCATGATGTTCATGAAGTACTATATGGTAGTAAGATATAACAAGAGCATATGATCAGATGAAAAAATATCAGAAGTATTTTGCTGCAACTGCAGTGTCAATTGTGCTTAGTAGGGTGCCTTTGAACCATTTAAGCATTATATAGTTGTCACTCTACAAATCTGGTTGATCATGATTTTGCGAGTAAATCGTGCCATTCGAGTTTGTAAAATAGGGAGATACCAATTTTATGTACCAGGTACCACCTATTTTATGATAGTCAAATAGCGGGGAAATGATGATAAACCATAGAATGACAATGAGTTTTTTAATGCCGAATCCATTGGTTTCAGTGCTGTTTCCATTGGTTTTACCGGTAGTTCACCACCGCTATGGAAAATCACCGGCCTTCTCAAGTTCTCGGAGGCGTGGCGCGCCACGGAGCATTTTCTTCAACGACTGCTGGGCACTGGGGCTGGGGTGCCGACTGCTTGCCCTCACTGCAACCGGAAGTGCCGTGGCGGAGATCCTGTCATCTGGTGTTTGTTCCATAATTCAATGGGAATTTCAGGATCCTAAAATGGAGGTACTGTACCATATAAGGCCATATTTTTTGGGGATATTCCCTTAAATAGCCCTGAAAAATAGGCCTATAATTATATGGAATCGGTATCTCCAATTTTTTCGGTTCCTGAAATGCCCATTGAATAATTCAATGGCACATCGTGGCCCCATTTCCAGAACATGACACGTCCGCGAAAGCACACCAAAACCCTGCGGTTGTGTGACCAAATATAAATTTACAGTAGCATCCGAAGCAAAAGTACCAAAAGTCTACAAAATTGCAGTACATTGAAAAGATCATCGAGCAAAAGGTCGTCTTTTTGCCAAACCTTGGTCTTTTCAGTCGAACATTGCCGAACAGCCCATTGGAAGGGATCTGAAAAAGGTACCATGGTATACCTGGATAATTTCTCACTAGGGCACACACCCGAACAAAGCTTGAGGCCATGTTATGGCTTGTGGGGTTGTATCCCATTTGGGTCCTTGCAGCAGTTCAAGCCTTCAAGTTTTTGATTTCTATTCTGGAACATGGAGATGTTATGGAAAAAGCAGCTTGGGAACAGTGGAAGCAATGTTGCAGATTGCATGACGACGGATGGGCTTTTGATATGATATGGTTTCCTTTTTCAAACGAATTGACTTGTTAGATCAGATGGGAGGACGTGACAATGTTTTGAATTGGACCGCGCCTCAAGCAAGGCATTGGTTTCCAATTTTTCGTGAACGCTGTAACAACATTGCTGAGCAAGATATGTTGAGGACACTTCGTTCCGGCAAGTACAATTTTCTTGCACACGCAATTTCTACTTTTGAATCCCCTCGACCTACTGCGCTATCATTGGGTTTGCTTTGCGGCCGCTCGCTGAACAATTTCTGGTTGTCCTCTCACTTGTTGGAAGTAGAGACTGGCAGGTATATCCGGCAACAACGAGAACAACGGTTTTGTCAAGCATGCAAACGGTCTTTGGGGCTTGGGGTCCTTGTGGATGAACAACATGCTCTGTCTTCCTGTGTAAGAGCTGCAGAACAGAGACAACTTTCTTTTGCAAAAATCCTATCTCTTTTCCCTGGTGATTCACTACGTCATATTCAGCACAACTCTCTTTTCAATATGTTGAATTCTCTGAACATCCTGTCAACAAATCAGCAAAATCTGGCATGGAAACTAGTTGCGAAGTACACCTTGGCAGTGCAACAAAGCATCCGCAGTGAGTTGGGCACGCAAGACCGCATACCGAACATATGGAAGGAATGTATGAAAAACATATTGCTGAAGTCAGTGACCAAAGCTGCTGAGAAGTATGTCCGTAAGCGTTTGAGGAGACAGCAGAGAAATATGCCAGCACTCCCTGCTATTGTTATTTCCGACGATTCCGATGATGATGTGGAGATTTTGAACTGAAGATCTTGATGTTTGCCATCCTTGTCCCGTTGCCCTTTTGATTCTGGCTTTCTGCTTATTTTCACACACCTTTTTCACCAAACTAGCTCTGTAAATTACAAAGAACTTTGCGCCGAGGTGCCATTACGGGCACGCAGGGCGCAAGACATGAAATGAAATGAAATGAAGGATTCTCATTTTCCGCGCCATTTTGTATCTATTCTGATTATTCTGTGTCCTTATCTTTAAATAGTCCCATCTATGATGCCCACAACAGTACAGTATAGTGCCAGGAAACGAGGAAACAGCCCCAGCGATCAGTCATTACAACTTTCATCGTCTTCATGGTGCCCAGAGAGCTGTATTTTCTGGGACTCGTAGAAAACCCGTACTAATCCGTAGAAAACCTGGAGTGCAATTCGAAAAGATCGGTTTTCCACACGCTTGGGAAAAGTTCGATTTTTGCTAACCCGTAGAAAACCCGTATTTTGGCCGTGGAAACCTGTAAAAAACCGTCCGAAAAATATGGTTTTTAGATAGTCTTTGTGGCTCCGGGAATAATGTGGGTTTTCTTAGGCCTTCTTAGCATATATCTCAGCTTCAAATTCGATGATCGCAATTGATGAAACAATTCTGATGATGTGAAGGTAAACAAAGCAGTGGATTGTACCCTGTTAAAATGCCATAAATGTCTCATCCAGGATGTTCAAAGCATTTTGATGATATGTTGGTATATAATATTTGGCACAATCTTGGAAATAGCTGATTTCCAAAAGTTCGACTTTTTGGGGGAAAAATCGTTTTTTCCTAGGTGTCTGCGATTTCAAAGGTTTTTGGATCCCATGGTAGTTGAATTCCAAACTGACATAGAAATCCATGGAAATCCCATGACACCTTGGACGGTTGGACATGAAGCGATGGAGATTCCCTCACTACTCCCGCGACTTCGAGGTTCCGCCCCGACTCCTTGGCAAGACATAGCCGGGTTTGTGTGAACGTCTTCCAGAAGCAACGGAAGGCCGACGGCGAAATTGGCGTCTGCGAAAGCTTGAGAGGTGGTGGGGTAGTTCCAATGTTGGTGTGTCTACTTCCCGTTCATTCCACATACACTTGCTTATATACTTTTTTGTTGGTTATGCTTTTTAAATATCCACATAATTATATATATATGCACATATAAAGATAATAAATAATGTAGTGTCATATATATATATATTATTATATCCATTTACTTGTACTCGTGCCATGTAATATGGTACGGTTGGATAGGAGTGTATTCTCATGTATTCTCCATTGTTGTTGGTGATGTTTAAAAACCCATTTCTCCTAGCAATAGCCCATGGTATTTTTATGCCACTTGCATGGCTTGCATCCGCCGTTTTCTTAAAGCAATGAACGGGTTCTGGCTCAATGGGGCCAAATTACTGACAATTGTTGTACTTTTTTTGGTTCCCTGCTTAGTAGGGGTGTAGCCAATATACATATGCAAATGTATGCCTTATGCCAACAAAAACATTCCAGGACTACAAAAAAATGCATTCTTGATCGTCACGACATGCCCCGGATTATCCTGGACTTCCCCAAGTAATGGGACGGCTAGCCAACAAGAAATACCAAGAATCGAGGATTTTACCTCCAAAACAAGGTGAATTGAATGACCAAAAACAGTGGACCCAGAGATAAATCCATGACATGTCCCATGGTTTAAACCTAGTTCACTAGACTAAACCACTGTTGGACGCCAATCCCAAATTCCACAGGGAAAACCTCCAAGTTTGGGTATCATTTTTTTGTTCGGACGTGACAAGATTTGATCCGACCGCCAAATCCACATGTTAATTTGATTCGCAAGGGCGAGGCCTAATGCAAAATCATTGTATCTACAGTATTTTTCAGGTGTTTGATGCACATTGGTATTCATCAAAGCAACAATTATTAAAGGGTTTCAAACCACGAACATCCTGTTTTATGAGAATATTTGTTTTTAACGCCATGCAGTAAAATGTGTAAAATCAACAGTCAACATAGATTTGATAATCGTTTACATACGTACAACATCATCAAACCATATATATATACACATATATATATACACATAATTACATATGAATTCTCACAATCTCAATGCGACCTCATTAAAATGATAGTTAAAGGGCAATCATCCGGAAGTGGCCAAACTGCTCTGAACTTGGTGACTTACTATGATTCACCCAACTATATAGATCTATCTATCTACATATAGTACTATATATTATTAGATCATATCGCATTATATACCTATTGTATCCAGTTGATAGATGGTAAACATCCCATTATTGATAGGGTTTCAAGCATCCAAGGTGGTGCAGGATTTCTTCCATCCACAGTGTTATATACCCATTATATCCCATTAAACCGCTATTCTAAATCACTGGGATGATTGAAAAATACACCTAGTGACCTATTGAAATCACACATAATTCCAAATATAAATCAACAAGATAAGTACCATACCATCATGCAATCCAATACTTGGATTTTCCCAATCTACCACATTGTTGATGGCGAAGTTACATAATAATCGTTGGGTTATCAATAGTTTATAGTTACTACTCATCCCCAATTAAAGTATCAATAGTTGGATTATCCATTATATGTTGCTTGTTATATCCCATATTTTTCTAAATATATATATATATATACCTGTGTATTATACCCATTATACAACCATAGTTGGATTATCCATGATTATCATTTTAATAATAGCGGTATATCAATATTTATTTCCCAATATCCCACCTGTGATTCTGGATGATAAAAAACAAGAACCCAATAGTGGATAACCAGGTCGTTGGATTATCCAGAAAGAGAAGTTACGATTTGAGTTCCAATTAGTTTTTTGGGGATACTATTTACTATTATTGTGGGTAATCCAACCATTAAATATTCAATTGCAATAGTTGGATTATCAATAGTTTAGTTCCTATTAAAGCTACTACAGCTTAGTTGCTGTACTCATAGTTGGATTCTCATATCCATTCATATATCTTCCGTAATCATATTCCATAATACTGTAACAATATCAGTTGGATTTTCATATCCCACATCAAGTATGATACATTCCCACTTCATTATTCCATAATCATATCCACAATATCTGTATGGAATATTATTCCACGGATAATTATGGGATAACTATTATATACACACATCATATTCCCCACTTATGTACACGACTACTATGGTATCCCACTATTATAGTATCCCACTATTACACTTTTTTTTTAAGTATCCACATCATATTCCCACTTAACTTATAACTTATGTGCACTATTATCCCACATCATTATCTTCTATAGTTGTCCCCCAATGGTCGCCCTTTTTTAGGCCTTTGACGCCCTGCGGCAGCGCGTGCCACTGGAGTGCTTGACAAAGCTGCGGCGCCTCAAGGCCAAGGCCGAGGTGCCCCGGTGTACCATTTATTTGGTTAACCATGATGGGTTGGAACATTACAGTTCATGAATGTTCATGATATGATAACCACATTACTGGTGAAAGAATTGATGTAAATTCTGTTAAATGTGACAAAACCATTCGCCATCACCCAGTAATTTGATGGTATTTCAAGCATGATTTTAACCATCAAGCATTGTTCACCATTTGTTAACAATTAGAGACCACAGTTAACCATTATAACCATTATTATCCGCTTGTAATTATTGTCAACCATGAAAAAAAACCGCCGATATAACAATTATTGACCAATATTAACCCATTGTTATATCTGGATGATAATGGGGTATATTATCAACATGGGGTATTTATTAATACCAATTATTGACCAATATTAACAAATATGGTTATTATACCCAATATTGTTAGCCAAACATGACCAAATTCCGGGAATTTCGGGATGTCCCCTGCTCGATTTGCGATTTGAGGTGGGTCGCATCCCATCCTCGTGGCGCCAGCGAAGCAGAGCCTTTCGCCACGCAGTGCGGGAAGCGCGGCACGCCAGCGGCGCGGCTGATAGGATTTCCACACTAAGGATGTGGGTGACCTACTATAGGATAGCCATTGTTGCTGATGATTTCTGGCGGATTTGTGGTGGGTTACCTGAATAAAAGCCTTGTTATCAAGGGCTGTATTTTCAATCGAGTCCTGGATCAAAGAAAATTCAATGGCGAAGGCGCTGAATCCCCTAGTGAAGGTGCTCAAATTTTGTGGATATGTTATTTATGTCCATTGTTCCTGATGCGTTTATGGTTTTTGAGAGGTTTTGATCCATCCCCAAAATTGGTGTATGAGGGGAAATGGAATTGGCATGGATTAGATACAGTGAGTGTGGATGATATGGTTGCTATCTCGTAAATCAAAAGCCCATCAATGAAAGTGGTCAATTTTCTTGAATGGAGCATCCTCATTACTGTCATCCCATCTCATCCCTAGCTCATCTAGCTCCAAGCACCAAGGTCTGTCAAAGGGTCGGCCCTTGCGACGTGGCAGTGCGGTTGAGTCTTGGATCCAGTTGTGTTTGTCATGAACCCATCATGTTTGTTTATGCCTACGGCTGGAAAACCGTACGTGCGTTTTGCTTCTTTTTTGAGTATTGCTCTTTGTCTTGGGGTTGGGGTGGGGTGGGGGGGCATGTTAACGTTCCTTGTACTTCGTACATGATATATTGCCATGTTGCTAAGATCTCTGGGATCGCTTACTACGTGACATGTTGCTACGCTGCTGAGATCTCTAGTGTGGGTTGGGGTTGGGGTGGGGTGGGGTGGGGTGGGGGGGCATGCTAACGTTCCTTGTACTTCGTACATGATATATTGCCATGTTGCTAAGATCTCTGGGATCGCTTACTACGTGACATGTTGCTACGCTGCTGAGATCTCTGGTGTGGGTTGGGGTTGGGGTTGGGTGGGGTGGGGGGGCATGCTAACGTCCCTTGTACTTCGTACATGATATATTGCCATGTTGCTAAGATCTCTGGGATCGCTTACTACGTGACATGTTGCTACGCTGCTGAGATGTCATGCTATACCTGCGTTGCTGGCAGTGGCGTTATGAGTGCCATAATGGCAACTTGCTGTCGAAGACAGCTTCCACACTGATGGATCGCTGAGCCGACGAAGAGTGTTAAAAAAAATCTGAGCATCCACGTCTGATGCACATGATGTTTACCTGGATTTGTCAAAAATCAATAGATTTTGCATCCACTTTTTTTAACCAAAATTCAGTTATCCAAAGAGTTCGGAAGAGCATTTTATATTGTAAATTACAGGTGATTGTGACTCTCCTGGAAGCAAACAATCAAAACGCTCGCGCGGTTTCCCATCCGCCGGGTTGTTTATGATCGTCAACAACGATAGGTTCTTGTACTTGGGCAATCGATTTGCTCCGTGCAATTGTTTCTTTCAAAATGTCCTGAATATATACGCGTCTTCTGACTGCGGAAGGTCTTGGGAGTGGTGATCTGTCATGCGTTGCCGCTTCTGGATGTGGAATTCAGGTGATTTGTATGACATTTGTCGTGGCTATTCACCGATATCGGCCTAGCCGCTCTCGTGGGTGGAAATCCATTGGATTATTGGATCATGGATGATAGTGAGAAGGGATGATAATGACATATAATGACCAATGTAAGGAATCATTCATATCTTATACCCTCTGGTAAACTATCATAACTATGGAAAATCACCATTTTTAATGGGTAAATCCACTATAAATGGCCATTTTCAATAGCTACGTTAAATTACCAGAGGGTACCTGTCACCCTGAGGCAAACTGATTGGAAAAGCGTGGGGCACCCATAGTCTACCGACCGGAGCTCAAGGGTGGACCGCGGACCGAGGATTTGAACGAGAAATCGCCATGCCCTCACTGCGGCCGGAAGTTTCTGGAAGTTCATTTGGCACAGCATGCGCCGGTCTGTGCCGAAGCTGCAAAGAGGAAAGGATAGGAAAGCCCTGATGGGTAATGAAGTTGATGTTTTTTCCAGGCTAGGATGGATTGATGTTCTTATTGATATTTATTGATGACAAATGTCAGATACACAGTAGAATGATCCCCAATGATCCTTAATGGATATATATGGATATATAAGCAGTTTGGATGAACAACCTAATCATAACTCGGGGGCCCCTTCAGTGACATCCACTGCCAAGGTCGTGCCAAGGTGCAAGCGCTAATCGACTGGGAGGAGGTGTTATCCTTTAAACATTTTTTCACATATTGTGAGATCAGGCTGTGGATGTTTCTAGCATGTTTCAGCTGTAGATGAATAGGAGTTCATCATTGATCATATTCGTAAATATTAACCTCTGGTAAACATACAAAAAGCTATTGAAAATGGCCATTTATAGTGGAATTCCCCATTAAAAATGGTGGATCTTTCCATAGTTTTTTGTTAACGTTTACCAGGCCGGGTACCTACAAATGCGCGGGAAACCCATAATGCCCTACACCTGAGATTTCGTGGACATGGGCTGTTATGGTAAAAGGATGGTTTATGGCCCAGGCTTTGCCACCAAAAAGCGATGATTTAAGATGTATCTTTACAAAAACTGGCATCAACGAACAACCATACGGTTAACCCTATATTGAATCCCCACGAAATCTCATTATTTTTCGCATTCAACCCCAGATTTTTTCAAGATGTACCCTCTGGTTATTTAACATATAGTCATGGTATAGATGGCCCATAGAAATAGATGGTTTACCTATTAAAAAGGGTGATTTTCCATGGCTATGTGAGTCATAACGAGATGGTACAGATTTCACCGGTGGATTCCGAAAGATTTCCGCCGTTCTGCCAGGCCCCACGAGCACCTCAGAGTGATTCTGAGCCACGTGCTGCGGGGCGAAACTTGGCAGAATGGCTGGTGGTTTCACTGTAAATCTAGGGCTTCAAATGGCATCAAACATGTAGGATATGATGTGGTTATACGATGTTATACGTAGAATGTTCTATATCTGCATCAATATCTCATCTACTATTCGAGATTTTTCAATATTTTCGGCTGGTTATTTCAGGTATTTTAAGTTGTCCCCTAGATCCTGCCAATACATTGATCTCAGCCGAGGCCTTGTGACAGGCTCCAGAGATACCCGGCCCTGGTGAGGCAGCGATGTTTTTGTGGGATATATATGGATATATAATATGTATTAAGTATAGATTGTATATATATATTATATATATGATGTATGTATACATACATACACACACATATATTATATATACAGCTATAAGATATACCCACTTTCAGACAAGCCGAAGTCAGCAAATTTTGTTTCAAAGATGTTTTCAGATCCGTTTCACCCGCGACGAATTCCGCTGCCAATCTCGAGCAGCAGAATTGGCTTCGACCGCTGCTGGAGGTGGCATTGGGGGAGCCAACTGTGTCAATTTTTGTTACCTTCAGGAGAATCATCAACCCCACGGCAGGATCATTGAATTGACTTATTTCTGATGAGCAACGAAAGTTCCCTCTGATGGTGCTGTAGTGTGCTGTAGCAATCTTTGTTTGGTCTGAGGTACAGATCTGATTTTGGTAGGAGGTGCTCCCGTGAACACAGCGGTCGAAAGCAACAGTAGCTCGAAAGCCCCTCCCGGAATCAGAAGAAAAAACGGGCCAAGGCGGGTGATGGATGATTCTTTCAGCGACCTGAACCATACTTGTACCTTGAGTTAAAAGCACTCGGTAAAATGAGATAACACTATGTAAATACGTGTTTTTTTGGCTGGTCCTAAATTGACGGGTCTAGCAACATAGCAGTTTTTGCAACGGAAAGATCAGGAGATGAACCTGTCCATCGCTTGAACCCCTACTTGTAAGACTGATCCATCACTTGCAATCCCTTCCCTCGAGCATGAAATAGTTACCACCCAGACACCCTGATTCAGTATTACCTTCATCTATTTATTTAGGGGCCCAGATGGGGTGGGGATATTGAATGCCGGGGTGAGGGATTATTTGTATATATTTCTGTTGGCACAATTCATAGCATATCATTAAAATGCATTAGATGATATTGCATTGTGGGCGCAGGAGGTGCGCAATTTGATTTTCAAAAAAACAGCCACTTGCAGCCACTTGCCAGTGGCTGCAAGTGGCTGCAAGTGGCTGCAAGTGGCTGCAAGTGGCTGCAAGTGGCTGCAAGTGGCTGCAAGTGGCTGCAAGTGGCTGCAAGTGGCTGCAAGTGGCTGCGGGGCAAGGGGCTGCAAGGGGCTGCATGTGGCTGCAAGTGGCTGCAAGTGGCTGCGGGGCAAGTGGCTGCAAGTGGCTGGTTGTGGCTGGTTGTGGCTGCTTCGACAATCTTGAAAAAAAGTAAAATCTAAGCTCGCTCTCTGTGATATTAGATGCATCTATTCACCACGCATCAATTTGAAACATCATTGAATACATAAATATCAATTCAAATCATATGAATCATCATTGATTCATTGATTCATCAATATCAAACCTGTTCTTGGATCTCAGAATCATCATTAGATCCACTATCAAATATCTAACGTTAATTGGATATAGTGGATCTAATGATCTAATGCGATCTAATGGATCTTGGATGTAGTTTGTATATCGTGTATTTAGATTAAGTTATAGTTGTATTTTGTAGTGCGTGGTATATATATAATATATATATATACATAAAATATCGTATAATATATACCTATATATATATATATTATTCATGTTTATATTATAATCCATAGAGTTTTTTCGATATTCCCCAAGCACAACGATCTCTTCAGCCAGGTTTCCCTTGGCGCTTGGAAGTCGAAGACTTGGATCCTGAAGAAGCGGCAGGCGCAGATTGACAACTGCCATTCGAATTGTCCTGAAAACTAATAATAAATTGATGCCTTTTTTCTAATCCTGCAATGTATTTTTTGGTTTCCCATAGTTGAATCCGGAAATTGATTGACGCAGGTTTTTTTTGGAAACTTGGGGCGAAAGCCGCCAACTCCTTGAGTTTCTCCTGCAGTGAAATTTCCGTGACAGGGCTGCAGCCTGAGAACCGCCTGCCTGGCCATGCTTAGGGCAGCCGGGTTTTATTGGTTTTTGGGTGCACCAAGAATAGATTTCTATAGATTTTTGTACACCATACTGATATAAAAGGTTGGCATTCTGAAAGTTTCGGAGTTTGCTGGTTGAAGACGCCGCCAGACCCTGAAATCCACCAGACTTTCAAACAAGGTCAGTGGATCACAGGATTCCAGACATGGGCCATGCAACAGAACTTGACTCCCAATGACTGGGCAAAAAAAGAGATACACCACCATGATACACCATGATACACCATGATACACCATTATCATATATTATCATATATTATCATATATTATCATATCTTATCATATATTATCATATCTTATCATATCTTATCATATATTATCATATATTATCATCACCATCACTTACACCATTATCATCCCACCATCACTCAAATCAAGGATTTAACATGCAGCTGGACTATCCGAGCCGTTCATTCCATTCCTTTGGCACTGATCATCTGAATTTTGTCGCCATGAGACGCCTGCTGCTTCGATGGCCACCGTTGAAATGGAGGCGGGGCGCATGATGGGCTTTCAGACTTGCTTTCGGGCGAGAGAACAGGGTGATAGTCAATTTATCTATGCCTGCAGGATGCACTAGAGCTCTGCATCGTTTGATCCATGCTGACACAGAGTCGCAAGAGATGACATTTTTGCTTCAGAAGGTTTCCAACTTCAGGAGGCACCAAGATAATCCAAGATGATGTAGGAATGCTGTTGGGCGGTGTTTCATCAGGAATCGAGGTTGCGATTCCACAATTCCACGCAGGCTGCCCCTGGCTGCGATGGCGTTGCTTACCATGCGCCCCATCTCACCCTTCGTTTCTGTGAGCCGCGGCCAAGGCCGTGGAAGCCCAAACAAACTGTTGAACATTGCTGCAATCAAATGCAGAATCCCCTTCCAAATTTGGCATCCGCTCTGAAATGCTTAAAAAGTTTATAAGGCATTGATAAATCCAAAGGACATGAAAAAATGGGCAGTGATATATTTTAGATCTCATCAGAAGGCGGAGTCCTGTACAAATGCAATGAAATGGTTTTCCCACCTAGGCGCTAGGTTTGCGTTAGTGTGGCGCTAGATACTTAGCCATCAAATCCATTAATGTGAAATATTGTAAGGCCCGGTGCTTTCGCTGCCTTTTGCTCACTTGTGGCTGTTGTTCCCAGTCCTGCTTGGGCAACTCTACAGTAACCTTCCTTTTCGTATGCCTCTTTGAAATTCTTCGAACTTCATTGCTGCTTCTTGTCGGCCAGGAACACAATGTGAAGATATGTGAAAACAATAGCTTTTATTCAACTTTTCACGGCTAGTCTAAACATAGTTCTGGCGCTAGATGAATCCTGAATCCCCCAAGAATATGGGCCCATTGGATCCCATTGGTCAGGTTGCTGTACTTGCAACCCCAACAGCACTGGCTTCAAACACCGACATACAGCGGTAGCAGTAAGCTCCAGCAGCTCCAGATGATCATTTACGACTTTCTTCACTCATGTTTGACGTCTGTTGCAGATATTGAACTTTAAAGGCAGAGTTATGTAAATATGCTTTGAAGGTGATTTGTGTCCGAATCCGGGAGAACGAATTTTAAGAAGATGCGTCTTGTGCGATATGTGTTTCAATTTGATGTGAGAGTTTGGGGGTGCAGACACAGCAGGACAGAGCCAGAGCCGAGTGGCTTGCGCAGCGAAGGGGTGCAGAACTTAAGGAACTAGACTTTTGGATCGCCAAGCTTCCAGAGAGTCGTGAGTTAAGGTGAGTTAGGGTTTCTCGGAAGTGCTGGGGCTATACTGCTATACACTTCGAATGTGTTGGCCCATGTGTGATTCAACCCAAGGTATGGCGTCCTGCGCAGGCTGATGCAGTTGCAAGACGACTTCCTGTCCTTGCCCAAGACCAAGGAAGGGCGGGTCCTGGTTGGGTGACCCATGAATGGTGTCCTTTTTCAAGTGTGTTTACTCATTTTTGGCCGATTTGATCTTCCAAAAGGATTTTGTTGCATAGAAGTGCATATCCAGAAGTTGGACAAACCAAAATTGGCCATCCATCCATCCACGTCATATCAGAGAAACCTCAACCAGTGTATCTTTAATTACTCTGGTTCTCTCCAAGAAAGAAACCACATCCTTTCGCTTTGATCGGAAGTCACGTGGCATCTTTGTTGGCATCAGTTGTCCCCATGGGGCTCCCATCAAGGGGCCGCCGTGTCAGGAGTTTGTTCTGGACCGGGACTGGCCAAAAGAGCGGCTGTTGAACGTGGAAGAATTTCTTCAGCACCAGGAGAAGTGGTGGAGTTGGGCGCCAAGTTGAAGCAAAAAGAGTGGCTGGTGGCTAAACCACCCAGGGTGTCATCACATTATATCTATAATTATCTACAATTATGGTGATATATTATAATTACACCTGCACAATGAATAAATGTAATGATGGATTGGAGTATCTTGAATATATCAGTATATATCATAGTTATGTGTCATATAATTATGTCATGGCCAATCATCATATTGGATTATACAGATTAGATTATTTAATGATTATATAAGTAGATTCGATTGCATCAATGATTGGATCTATTGGATCTTCAAATCCCAAAGATCCAAACGGCGGATTTTGCCACGCAGCCATTGGTCCTCCCCGACGCCCTGCGTGCTCTGCGTGCCCGTTCTGCCAGCGGCCGAGCGCCATGGCCGAGCGGGTGAGACAAGCTGAGAGCATTGCAGCGGCGTTATTGTGCTCCATGGTCTACACAGTGGCTGAGTTCAGAAGTGTTTGAGGATTTTGATATATTTTTATGGGTGATGATGGAAAGGTGGATGAAAATTTGGTCGGGTTGGTTCTACTATGTTCTATTTTGTGCTATATTTCTGGTATAAGATCGATAAGATCTATTTGCGAGCGGGTTCGAACAAGCTCTGTGCAATCCAAACGGTTTGATTTGTGGGCGTCCTTTCCATGTTTCCTAGAGTTGTAGTCTGCTCACATCGATAGTAATGATTCATGAGGCCTGGCTGAATGGTGGAGTAACAAAAGGCACTTCGTGATGGGTTACAATAGTTACAATCAAAGTTTAGCAGTGAAGGTGTGCCAAAAGTGGCCTCTGAAGCCGTATGGAGACTTTATATCCCCGAATCACAACTGCCAGTTGAGTAAGAAATGAAATGACCGAGTTCCAGACCATCAAACCTTTCAAACCTTTCAAACCATCCACCCGGGAAAAATATGTCACTAAGGCGCTGCTCTCCAGCAACAAACAGCTGCAGTTCTTGGACTGGCCATACTTCTTCATTATGGGTACCTCAGCTTTCCTGGTGACCATCTTCAATGTCTCACTTCTCTGGTGGCAGAGACTCTGGCATCTGAAACCTGGCCAGTTGAAGTGGGTCGCTTGGACAGAAACCACAACCCAAATGGGTCCTACAGGGTTCCGGCTGGAAGTCGTGCTGCGTTGTTGAATACCACCATATTCGGACCCAAAATGAATGGATTCAACACTAAACCATACTAAACCAGGGTTTCGATTGGGGATGTTTGGGGGTTCAGAATTAGGGGGAATGGATTATCAAGGCCTTCTGGGCCTTCTGCAGAATCGTTCAGGCGTATGCCGATGTATGCATATGGTACAGGTACACAATGATATACACACATTTAACATCATAATTATATACATCATATATAACATAACTATAGAGGCTATACAGAAATATAGCTAAGATTTGTTTCCTTATCGACATGAAACTCATACCGGGCCCGAGGTGATTCTGCGCGGAGCCTTGGGCAGCGCAGGGAACGCCCTGGGCATTTTCGCGGTGCTGGCAGGGGCTCCGGTGGGTTCCATCGCTGCGTTCCGCAGCGTGAACTCCATCGTGGCCTCTCTGGGAAGCTTGGCATGCGACGTTTCAAAAAATGAGATGTCTGGGATGCCTGCGATTTTTGTTCCGGGATATTTTCACATACTTTCCCAGAAATAATGGAAATATATGGAGATTGCCAGATTGAGACCTTCAAAAACTGGCTTCGTTTTTCGTCTGATTGCCAGGAACAGTGGCTCTGGGAGAGCATTTTGGATGGCTGCATCTTTTGTCCGTGCTTTGGCGGTTTCATGGATGTTTTGTTGTCCGATCCGTGGGGTGGTTTTCTGCATATTCATTTGTGGAATTTTGTGGGGCCTAGGGGGGAGAGTCAACCTATGTTGATATACCTTAAATTAGCTTAAAATATGTTCATATCACGCAAGAATTTGGGGGCAAGGACCGGCAGGGATTGAGAATTTTCAGCGCCACATCCCTTCGCACCAGGTGAGTTTGTTCGTGCTGGGTGCCACGCTGACGGCGGACCCAGAGGAGATTATGGCAACCATGGGAACCACCCTGCCACGTGGTGGAAACCATGGCCAACACATACCAAAACGTACCGAAACATCAATCACCATCACCATCACCATCACGATCACATCACCATCAGCATCATCATCAGCATCATCATCATCATCATCATCATCATCACCATCACCATCACGATCGCATCACCATCATCATCATCATCATCAGCATCATCATCATCATCATCATCATCATCATCATCATCATCATCATCATCATCATCACCATCACCATCACCATCACGATCACATCAGCATCAGCATCATCATCAGCATCATCATCATCATCACCATCACCATCACGATCACGATCACATCACCATCAGCATCAGCATCATCATCATCATCACCATCACCATCACGATCACGATCACATCACCATCAGCATCAGCATCATCATCATCATCATCACCATCACCATCACGATCACATCACCATCAGCATCATCATCAGCATCATCATCATAATCATCATCACCATCACCATCACGATCACATCACCATCAGCATCATCATCAGCATCATCATCATCATCAGCATCAGCACCATCATCATCATCATCATCAGCATCAGCATCATCATCATCATCAGCATCAGCATCAGCATCAGCATCAGCATCAGCATAATTATCATCATGCTCATGCTCATGATCATGATCATGATCATGATCATGATCATCATCATGATCATCATCATGATCATCATCATGATCATCATCATGATCATGATCATGATCATGATCATGATCATCATGATCATCATGATCATCATGATCATCATCATCATCCATCATCATCATCATCATCATCCATCATCCATCATCCATCATCCATCATCCATCATCCATCATCCATCATCCATCATCCATCATCATGCATCATCCATCATGCATCATCCATCATCCATCATCAGTCATCAGTCATCAGTCATCAGTCATCAGTCATCAGTCATCAGTCATCAGTCATCAGTCATCTGTCATCATCATCATCATCATCATCGTCATCGTCATCGTCATCGTCATCGTCATCGTCATCGTCATCGTCGTCATCGTCATCGTCATCGTTATCATCACCATCACCATCATTATCAGCATCATCATCATCACCACCATCGTCGTCATCGTCATAATCACCATCATCATCACCACCATCATCATCATCATCAGCAGCAGCAGCATCGGCATCAGCATCAGCATCACCATCATCTGCACCATTATCATCATCGTCGTCATCATCATCACCACCACCACCACCAGCATCACCATCACCATCACCATCACCATCACCATCATTATTACGATCACCGTCACCGTCATCGTTACTGTCCTCCTCCTCCTTCTCCTCCTCCTTCTCCAACTCCTCCTCCTCCTCCTCATCATCATCATCATAATCATCATCATCATCACCATCATCATCACCATCATCATCACCATCATCGTCGTCATCGTCGTCGTCGTCATCATCATCACCATCATCATCATCATCAGCAGCATCAGCAGCATCAGCATCAGCATCATCATCATCATCATCATCATCATTGTCGTCATCATCATCACCACCACCAGCATCACCATCACCATCACCATCATTATCACGATCAACGTCACCGTCACCGTCAGCGTCACCGTTCCCGTCCTCCTCCTCCTCCTCCTCGTCATCATCATCATCATCATCATCACCAGTCATCAGTCATCAGTCATCAGTCATCAGTCATCAGTCATCAGTCATCATCACAGTTAGATCATCACAATTAGAATTCTCCAACTATTTTTTTGCCATGGAATCTCCATGATTTTCCCTCCTTGGCGCAAGACAGCCACACCCAGGCTTGGCCATGGCCTAGCGCTTGGGAGCGGCATCTGCGGTGGCTGCTCCCATTTGACGGGCCGCAAGATCACTGATGTCCACCCCTCCTTTCTGACGATTTCAAACATGTTCCCTTGGCCGATTCCACCAGCCGCGGGGACGGGAAGGGTCGAAGTTGACCAAGTTGACCGAAGAGTCATGAGTTTGAATTTGATTCATGAGAAGCGATGCACAGGCCAACGTCAAACTTGAACATGATAAAATTATATAAAATTGATCAAGTTTATCATTTTTGTAAAGGATTGAAAAGAATCAGGTGAAACCATGGAGGTCAATGAGGTTTCTTGGATTTGATGGGTGCCAGATGGTGTTTTTTGTCCTGCCGCGTAGAACAGACACATCGTAAGCACTCATCAATGCAACCATAGCCACGGTTGACTATTTCCCATTAACAGCATTTGTCCAAATCAGTGGCATTCAGTGGCAACCACAGAATTAAGCACAAGTACTGTAGTTTTACATACCCAATTTTCATATAATTAGAACCCACACCATTTTGGGGTGTCCAGTCCAGCAAATAATCGAAGGAAGTTTAGAAGTCAAACTGCCGACAATATGGACAGATGAAAAGCAGAGGTGGAGCAGAAGAATAGAGAAGAGAAGAGCAGAAGAGAGAAGAGCAGAAGAGAGAAGATCAGAGAAGAGAAGCAGAGAAGAGAAAGAGTCAGAAGAAAGAAGATGCAGGTGCGCGAAAAGGTAGGAAAGTCGCGAAACATTGTGTTTTTCCAATGATTTGTGGCTCCAGAGGGTCGAAAAGGAGGCTCGCTAAAGCGGCGGGTGCGGAGCATCTGGCCAGATATGAAAAATTGCGCGAAGCACATTTCCAAGTCAAAATGTACAAAACACACCAGCTCCGGACCACTTTTCGAAGTTGCGATGTCGAAAAAGTGTACGCCGTTGTGGCGCGAAGCACATTTCGAAGTCAAAATGTTGAAAACACAACATGTTGGCGCCACTTTTGGACGTTCGGATGTCGTTTCGCGTGGCAGGCGCAAGGGATTGTGGACCTTGTCCAAAGCGAGCAAAACGTGAGGCTTTTGTAGCATTTCCAAAAAAGATGGCAGGCGTGGAGGCAGGGGCAGTACAAGAGACATGTTCATCAGAGCTGTTAGGCAGTCCGGGCACTGATTTCCTGATAGGGGTTGCCTGAGATGATTTTGCGTGACAGGTGCAGCACTTTGTATGACCTGGCATCACTTTTTCGTGGCAGGCGCAGTAGTTTAGACAGATGGACTGGAAAAATCGCAAAACGCATTGGTACGAGGCCGTCAGCTCTGCACTCAACTTTCCATTTTTGAAGGACGTCTCGCAGAATTGCTTCTTTTTTGATGTTGTCAACTAAAAAAAATGAGGAAGTCTCGGAGAATTGCTTCGTTTTTGATGTTGTCAAGTGCAAAAATTGAGGCAGTCTCGCTGAATTGCTGCGTTTTTGATGTTGTCAAGTTTAAAAGCTGAAGAAGTCTCGCAGAATCGCTTCGTTTTCAAGCTTGCAGATAGATAGATAGACAAACACAGAGAGAGAGAGAGAGAAAGACAGAGAGAGATAGATAGATAGACAGATAGATCGATAGATCCATAGATCGATAGATCGATAGATAGATCGATAGATAGATAGCTGGATCGATCGATAGATAGATAGAAAGATAGATAGATCGGTAGGTAGGTAGATAGTCAGAGACTCAGAGAAAGAGAGAGAAAGAGAGAGAAAGAGAGAGAAAGAGAGAGAAAGAGAGAGAAAGAGAGAGAAGAGAGAGAAAGAGAGGAGACCTCAACCACCTTTTGGTCCATCAGTGTATTCGCTCTGCCATCCGTGATTCACAACAACCAACCTCTCCTATAGGTTTCCTATTTTTGAAACTTCCGCCACCGCCTTGTGCGGCACCAAATAATTAAATAGGAGATAATAGGAGTCTAAATCACCACCGGTCCTTTTTTGCAAGATAAAGACAACCAAAGGGCGTAATGTAGGAAAACCAACAATCAACCATCTTCAATTTTACCAGAAATGGATGGTATAAACTAAACCGTTGCGGGTTTATTATTGACACAATTATTGTACTTATAACTTATAACCCATGAAATTAATCAGCCTGGTGGTTTATTGAGGCAACCTCCAAACCTGATAGGAATATAAAATTGTATTATTTACAGCATGTAAACATGTATTTCGGTGAGATGTTATCTTTCTATTTTGCATGTTTTTGCATGGGAAGTGGCCCATCTATGTACATATGTATATCTGATTTACCTATCAAACATTGATCTGTTCCTTGGCCATGGCCATTTTTAGAAATTGACGGTGAGTTCTTTGGCTTCAACGTCGAGAAGTTTCCGCTCCGTTGTTTTTCAAAGGTGCCACGGTTGGATCTTATACTGGACCCTGCACTTTATTCCTCAAGTGCCAAGCGGAAACTTTCAGTCCATGGAGGGCGCTCACCTTCACGGACTCCTGCTGCCTGGCGTTTTCAGGGGGAAGGACCATCGAAAAACTATGGAACATTCAGACGCCCCAATTTTTTTGATCATTAAATGAAGTGATTCTCCTTGTGCCAGTTTTTTGTTGAGGGGATTACCGGGATTATCATGATCCATCATCAGTGATCATGGGAATTGCTCTCAACCAGCAGAATGGACAGACATTTCTCACCAGCCCTGAGAGTCGCCCTTGGTGAAAGTCCCAGGCGGACACTGATAGTGGGGAGCTGTAAGAAGTGGTGAGACTTTGATTTTTTTCACTATGGGATGGGGATGAGTTTCAAAAAATTGAATTCTTGTCAATGCGGGTAGGTAAACACCGCGGCAACCAAGTGCACTCAACCTCCTAAGTCCTAAGTGAACGTTTTTCGTTCATTGACGGGAGGCCGAGGTGACGGCTGATAGCAGCTGCCAGGAGGTGAGAGTGTCCAAGCATGGAATCTTGAGGTAATAAATCCCACGGGATCCAACATGGTCCAATCCTGAACCGAGGTTTCGTTTGGCGTATTTACATGTATTTGGTATTAGGGGCTTTGGCCGAAGAATTTGGAGACTTCCTAGCTATGCCTACTAACGACATTTCCCCCGTGAACCATCCCCGGCGAACGTTGAAGGATTTCACCACAAAGAAGGACCTTGGTCCATTTTGATCCTGTCCCAAGGCTGTTGCTTTGCTTGCCAATGATCATGCATTTCGACACCACCTTTGGTGGTATCGCATCTCAGAGATGTTCAGCTGCTGTGGCAACCACTGTGATAACATCAGTGAAACTTGCAGGAATTTAGATGGAAAAAATCGAGTGTGATCCCACGTTGTGAAGCTCAAAATGGTTGGAGAGAGAAACTGCATGGTCATTACATAAATTGATCAATTTGTTTGGGTACGTTAATAGCTCCTTCTCGAGCCATACACCCAGATTTTACTTTTGTATCTGGGCCCAATGAAACCGAAAAATGCCATTCATGTTTCGTCCAGTTGAAGCGGTCAACATCAGGAACATGCTCCTGGGCTATGGCTTGGATTACTTCATCTCGCACCACCGGATGAAGTTTCTGACCCTGCTGGGCTCCACGTTGATCTTCCTGGCGGTGCTCACCATGCTCTTTGCCGCGTCGACGTCGATGTCGAGAAGAAGCAGCGAATACAAGGCTTCCTCGACGAAGGTGGAGCACGCCAGATCACAGGAGCGTCGGTGTGTGGTGGAGACCAGGATTTTGTGGGGGATCATTATCATTGACCATCCTTGACCTATACAATTGCACAATTATCATAGGTTGTTCATTGTTGCTGGTTTGATGTTGTCAGACCATTTTTCAAAACAAGACAATTGCCAGGAGATACGGGTTTGGAGACAAAGGATGTTGAGTCCTTCAGTTGATTCTATTAGTTTCTGTTGAACTCATCGGGGGATGAGCTACAGGACCTCTGGGTCCTAAGCAATAATTTGCAATTCTTTCGTTCATTTTTTCCTTGTCTTTTGTTCATCCTTCCTTTGCTTCCTTTCCTGTAGTTCCCTTCCTTTCTTTCGTTTTCTTTCCTGTTCTGCCTTTCTTTCCCTTCTTTCTTGTTTTTCCCTTCTTCCTTTGTTCCTGTTTTTGCGTGATTATCCCTTCTTTTCTTTCTGTCTTTCCTTCCTTTTGTAGGGGATGTATCAAGGAAGTCTTGGAAACTCCTCTTTCCCTTGAGCGAGGTCCTTGATGGTCCTTGCCTTTGTTGGGTACCATGGGAACAGTTGCGATATTCTCTGGGTTACAACCGTTGGAAAAAGAACATTTCTTGGCACTTTGCACAAGCTGTTGTGGCTTAGTGGGTGGTTTGAGCGCGTTGATTTTTTGATTCGGAGATTGATTGGCATAAAATGGATGGTATGGTAAGTAAATCACCCTGCTGATGGTTTGGAATTTGGAATTGAAATCATGGCTCAACATAGTATTTATATACTTCTTTTTTGTTCCCGATGTTGGGAAGACCATCCGCAAAAGCCTGGAGGAGTTGTCGAATCTACTACCATTGGAGGACAATGCCAACACCATTTGAGGTGGAAATTGGGGCGCAGGAAAGACCTGTTGACTGGCGCCTCCAAATCGGAGACTATAGGTGCAAGATTTTCCTGAATACACTAAATATTTCTGTATAAATGCGGTATTCATGAGCGCCTCTTGCCATATCTTGCCATATCTTGCCAAGGCCCAGCATGTGTTTCGAATCATTCCTCATGAAAAGTTGATGAACTTTCAGCCATTCCATTTGTTGTTGGCGTCATGCTGGGCTTATGTAGATTGAGCTTAACGTGTCAATTTGTGCTCTGGAAGTTGAGAGCGCGTAGCAGTAGGCAACCTAGGCACAGGGGAATGCCCTGTGGTTGTGCGCATCGAGCAACTAAGTTGATCGGTGTTGCTCCTCTCTCGTAAGTTTGTCTGAAAACCCCAAAACGAAATCCACTAATGTGCGTGTACTCATCATTGTCCTCATCAAACTTGCCATTTTAGGGGTATATCCAGGGTTACCCCACTTTCAGGCACACCCGAATACATTCAAATACATTCAAATACATTTTAACAGGGATGACCAACCCAGTTTCCATCCAAGATGGAAATCTGGCCCATCCCCACTTTGGAAGAGACGAGTGGAACCAGTTTCTTCGCCTCGTCGTCCGACTTTGGAAGGAGCCGAGGTGGACGAAAGTGCAGCTGCCGTGAGTTCGGTTGGCTGGTAATCTTTTGACTCAGCCCGATGGATCTTTTTCAGGCCCTGCTCAAGAACTTGCTGCACAAGATAAGCTACCTGCAGCTACCTATACGTAAGTAGACCAATTTTTGGCTCGGTGAGAGCAGCCAACTTAGTTATCATAGTTCAATAATGTTCAGTATAACATAACGTTTCAATTTACATACACTCTATTTTTGGATATTTTTGGTAGGTTACACCTTTATTTGATGCTTAAATGATGGGACTGGTCTGATCTGCAGAGTCCGCAGGAGTCCGAAAGGCCATGCCCTGTGCTGGACGTACGTTCGCCCAAGGAGTTCCATAAGGGCCACGTGCCCGGGGCAAGGAACCTGCCACTGCAGTGCCCTCAGAGGGTTGATGTTGGTTGGGCCCTTTAGGGTGATCACCTATGGTACTACGGTACAACCATATCTGGTTGGTGGTGACTGGAACATGGCCTTTATGACTTTCCATATATTGAGAAGAATCATCCCAACTGACTTTCATATTTTTCAGAGGTGTTGAAACCACCAACCAGATATATAAATATCATGGACATTTTTTGACTAACATGGGCAACCTTGTGTTTGGCACCTTTTGGGCTGACCGAAAAACTATTTTGCGTGAAAAGGTGACAATTTTCTGGGTGGAAATACTGTATCTGGGCAGAGCCAACATGAGTGAGAAATGGAAACATTAAGTGATATGTTTTTTTTTAATGGACCTGTTTCTTTTCCATGGGCAAATCAAAAATCTGCCCTGGACAGAAATTTGTAATTAGCCGGTGTATATCTATATCCCGGTGTATATCTATATCAAAGTACTGTGAACGTCCCACATATGCAAAATGCATATCATATCATATACTGTATGAACAAATAAATTTGAAATCATCAACCAGTTTGGGCCAGGTTTCAAGGTGTCAACTGGCCCAACTGGTTCCATTGGTGAAGAAAAAAAGTGACCTGCTAAGGCTGAATGATGATGAGAGGTGCCCCTTCGGATCCCTTCATGGTGGTGTCGCCACCGCCAACATTCGCGGCATCTTAACCCACTATTTACCGCGGTTGAACATCTGTAGCTGAGGAGACAACCCACTTTCGATGGCCGGGAATTACTACTGTCATATGGCAGCGTCAAAGAATGGTGTTGTGTTCTTGCTCTTAGCATATTTGAAGCATGATATAGCATGGTGGATTTTATATTGGTGTTGTGTGTGTGTTGTGCATGTGTGAAAACATGAATGTTCCCAGACTTGTATAGACCTGTTGCCAAGAGTAAGCCGCAGTAAGCCAGTTCCTTCTGTTTCATGACCTGTCGCTCTGCAGGGCAGCGGTTGGCACGATGTTTGCCCAGATAGGTCCATGGGCCGCCAGTCGAATCAACATCCATAAACCTGGTTTTCTTTTCCAATCTGGTTTGTGTTTTAATGTTCAAAACGAGGGTCCTAACGGTGTAAAATACCCTTCAGCTGAATCACTGGGGACATCTAAGCTGCAAGATTAGGTCATAACAGGGTTTCCAGCAAAGATTGGCTATTACATCAGAATTCCCAGGTTTCCATTTTGCGTCCTGAGGATGAAGATTGCCTTTAATGGGCTTCTGATTGTGCAAACCCATGCGGATCTAGGATTGTCTTCGAAACCAGCCTGAAAAAATGGAGAATCCACGTCTCCTTCATATTGCAAGAATTGCTGGATTTAGGTTCGAAAACACTTCGGAAAAGTATCCCCCAGCAAAAGGATGGCCCAGTCAGACTTCCAAGGTGCAAAGGAAGCCTTTGCCGGGGATCCGAGAAGTGAGGCAATGATTGAGCAGTTGTTTTAACTTTATTTATATATACGTATGTATATATATTATATATAATATTATATAATTGGGATATTTCGGCAATAATCCTAGGATAGCTCAATAATAATGGGGTCATTTTTTTGGCATAAGAGATATAAGTATCTTTTGAAGCCTTCAAACTAACCAACAAAGACAGAGATCCCATGATCTCATCGATCAGAAATTGACCGACACATAGGAAGATGGAACCAAGGTGATCATAGGTGACCCAACAAACAAAAGTAGGGATATAATGAGATACTGCTTGGTGGTTTGGAACATTTTTTATTTGCCATGATATATGGGATAATCCTTCCCATTGCCTAATATTTTTCAAGATGGTTAAAATCACCAACCAGGATACTGTATATACATGTATATATGTGCATGTGTGTGTGGCCAAAAGACCAAGCTGCTTTCATTACCATGACCAAGCTGGTAATGAAAGAGAGCGGGAGCAATGGGAAAGCCTCTGCGATTTGGATGGGAGATGATGGGAGCTTCACCATCTAAAATGGGGATGTCCGCGGCAGCTCCAACATCATAGAGCTTCATTTCTTGAAGATGTGCTCTTTGTAGAGACTATCCAAGAGGCAATTCACCACTTTCAGGGTGTCAGGGATACCAAGATGGTTTTATCATACTACATATAGATATAGAATGATATAGATATAGTGATATATTACATGATATTACACACACATATATATATATATTACATATTATCATATATATCATATTTTGTTGAACATCAAGATTTAGATGTTGATGAAGCCATCCTTTCGTGGTCCCATCAGCTCCCATCGTGGATCGAGGATTTGGCCTTGGAGAGTGTTCACCCAAAGTTGGCAACGCTGCTGCGCCAGGCGGCGCCAGGTCATCTTCAACAAAACCCTCTCAGGGTTTGGGCTGAAACCACCACCTAATGTTGATGAAAATTATATATTATGAAATGATGATTATCATTTTTGGTTATCATTCTTTTGCAGTTGATGTCAAAAAATAAGTAATTTGTAAATACAGATTCCGCGGCTGATAGTTTCAATGATCCACGACCACTGGGGGCTGAACCACCCACATCACTAGGCCGGGGAGAACGTGGACAGTGAGGCGCACGAGGATCGCTGGGGAAGATGGTTTTCAACTGCTAGGGTTACCTTTGACTGGGTGCATCCACTTTTCGAAGTGCATGCGATTGCATGCATGAAGATTCATAGAGTGATACAATATACACACACACACATATATATATATATACATATGTATGTAGATAGAGAGTCCAATTTTGTACTAGCCTGCCTTCAAACGTGAATGAGCATTGAATATCATTTCGTCAGAAATTGTTCTTAGACACTTTGGCATTTGGTGGTTTGCTGCTATCCTTTTGCCCAGGAATCCAGGAGTAGTCCATGTCCATGTCCCATTTGCAAGGCCAAACTCCTCCTGTACTGCAAGAGAGGTGCACATCTTCCTGTCCAGGATGACGTCATCCCTTTTTTGGGGATTCGAATAGATGATATTAAGAAACAAAAACACCTATATGATTCAGATGGATTAACATAGAAAACCATTGGAACAGCTCAATGGTTCACGTCCTTTGGCCATACTGGTGAAATCACCCAGGATTCTGAGCCCAGGTGGCATGCGCTCTCAATCAATGGCGAAGTGCCTCGCCGGAAAGTTTGATACATGAATCGTCTTGGCTGACAGCGTTGCGCATACGTAACTTTCGGAGCCTATGTGCGTTGGTATATATACACAAAGCTATACATACATCCAGCATCATCCATCATCCATCATCATCCATCCATGCGTGCATGCATGCATACATACATACACACAGATACATTCATTATTACATTGCATTACACTACATATATTACAATACAATACATTCCAATACAATCCAATACATATATTACATGCATTACATTGTTTTACATTATATTGCAATACAATACAATACAGCACAATAGAATACATTACATTACATTACATTACATCACATCACATTACATTACATTACATTACATCATTACATTGCAATACAATAAAATACAGTTACGATACACTACATTACATTACAATTACAATACTCAATACAATGCAATGCAATACATTACAGTACACTACATTACACATTTTTTTGACATAATATATATATATAATCATATTAAATATATTGTTATATATATATATATGTGTGTAACCATCTAATTATAGATATACATCTACAATATCTATATTCATGTGTATATACTATCTATACTATGTATATATATATGTGTGTGTAACTATCTACATTCATGTTTTCATCTATGTATGTGGGTGTTTCTGAGGCTTCTCTCAAGACATGGCCTCGATGTCATGGTCCTGACAGGTGGCTACAAGGCCGACGATGGCCGACGTCAATCTTGGGCGAAGCTTTGGTGAATCGTTGTTCAAAAAACATGGGAAAACCATAGGAAAACCATAGGAAAACCATAGGAAAACCATAG